TGCCCCTTTTTGACTTAGAAAATACATTGAATATGGGTAAAATCCACTTATTGCCTTAACCCTTTGAGATATTGCTTTGAAACTTTTAATGCTATTTCACATCATTACCCCCATCTGTACGCAAGAGAAGGTAACTCTGTCAAGGATTTGTTTTAAAAATTAAGGCCTTTTATCGACTTAGAATCTTGGTTAAGTTTTTAGTACCAGTCCACTTTTTGACTGAACTGTTTGAGATATTAATTTGAAAGTTGGAATACTTGTTTACAATCATGATTCCCAAACATGTCCAGGAGAAGGTAATTCTGTCAAAGATTTTATTTGAATTATGGCCCTTAACTGTCAATGTTTTGTATTATAGGCAAGCACTAAAAAACTTAAAAAATTTAAAAAAATTCATTCCTATCCACTTGTTCACTTTACCATAAATTATGTCATATAAACATTGCTGTAATATTCAAGGGTATCAAACAACTAGTTCACTTTAAAAATACAGAGATTCTTGTATTGCCTTTTACTGCAAAAACTTTTTTTATTGGCAAGCAATAAAAAAGTCGAGCGCGCTGTCTTACGGACAGCTCTTGTTAATAAAACTAATAAATTATCTTAAAACAAGGAAATAGTTAGAGGATAAAAAAATAATACTAATGTTATATATAACTATAGTTTAGCTTATTTTTCTCAAAGATGTATAATACCGAATTTTTACCTCCCTGTTGCTTGTTGGTTGATATTTATTTTTAACATGAGTATTTTTAACCTTTTAAAGTAATGTTACCTCTAGATGAAATGGATCTCTATCGTTAAACAGTTAAAATAAAGATAAGTAGCAAAGAATTACTAGATGTATTTTTCCAATTCCTTTTGTTTGCTGCCATTATTTAAGTATATGAAATTTTAAGTTTATCTTATATCCCATACAATATCATAATTACATCGTCGGATGCCCACGGTTAATTAACATGTAATATAACATAAATGTTACTGGTTCCACCGTAGGTATCCGACGATACATAATTATTAGCATCATTTGAATGAATTTTGTACCTTAATTGATATCACAAAGTCTAAACTCTTTTAACTTGCATAAACCAAATTTTAGCGACTTAAAATGAAAGTTATTGACTTAAGAACTTCTTTAACTAATCAGATAATTAATGAACCATATACTTGACATCGGACAAATGATTTTAAAGAAAATGTTTATAACATGTTTTTGACCAAATCACCATTCTCCCAAATGAGTCTGCACCAACCAGAAAATTCAAGTGGTCCGACAGACCAGCGGCTTTTAAAATTAGGTGGTCCTTGCAAAAATCTGGTGGTCTCGGACCAACGGACCACCGCTAATGTCGAGGCCTGTTCTAATGGGTGTTTACCAAGTTTGTTCAAATATTTAAAGCCCTGAGGTTTAAACTGGCCCCGCTCCGGGGGCCTATATACAGTTGAGCGACTTCAGGGCCATCATGGCCATCTTGTTTTAATGTTATAAAATTATTCTAGAAAAAAAGAAGTCAGTCACATAAACATGAACATGTAGTTGTTCTTTATTGATTTAATGAATTATTTTTGTAATTTTTGCATTAGTTTTGAAGGTTGATGTTGGTTGTTTTTTTTTCTGTAAGATTTAAATTTGAAATGATCCCAAGCTTTGGTATTTTTGTATAAGGGAGGTTTTTTTTTCCTGAACATTTTTCTAGACTATTGTTTTATAAAATTACGTAAGTTAAATGTTAATATCAAGATTAACCTTTCACCTGCTCAAGTTGTATAATCAAAATGGATTTGCCCAGGTTTTAAATTTGGAACAATCCATTCTAAGTTTAAGAAATTTCAATATTAACCCTTAAAGTGCTGGAACCGAAAGCGTTAAGCCTTTGCCACCAGTATAGAGCCAGGCCAGCCTGCACATCCGTGCAGTCTGACCACTGAGGCTCTATACTGTTAGCTGGCAAATTCCCAAAACTGATAATGGACAGTCCCAAAATGGAAGTGCGACAAGTCCATCATGTTCAGGGTTAAAATAAAAAAATCACAGATACAGGCAGGCCTGACTGACTATACTAATGGTAATATAGCATCAGTTTAATAGATCCAGTCAGTTCATGGATTATATGAATACACACATATAAGATAAAGTTCAATAGGAAGCTCAGTGTTATATTTCATCACATATTATTGCTTGTTTCTAATGTTTATATTAATTACCAAGGGGGGGGGGGGGGCAGTATATATATAGTGAATCAATTTTGCTTTGGGTATTTCAAAGAATTACAGAAACCATCTTTAGGAGTCTGGATGCTTATTTTGTACATACTTTTTGAATAATTATGATGAAATATTGTATAGAAAACACAACATATAATATATACAGTTTTTAGGAAGAAATTGAACAAAGTTAAGATAAACTAATCAAACAAAAAATAAAAATCAATAGATTAATATGATAGATATCATATCCTTGCCAAGTGGGGTTATTTATCTTCTGACAAAATTAATATTGTGACATTGTGAGTGGTTTCACCTGAAATACCCAAAAGAGCAGCTTAAAAGGGTTGAATATTAATTTTGTTTGTGGAACACAACCTATCTCTGTACATTCTTGTGTAATTTTTGAAAAAATATTATTCAAGTCATATGGAAAATTGAACAAACATTAGAGTAATTAGTATCCTCTACTGATAGTTTATGCAATATTCTTTTTGTTTTCTAAAACCAGTCCTAATTGTCTGATGCAGAGGTGCCTGTATGTATATAAAATTCCTATAATACAGCACTTAAGTTATAACCATACGTCTCCATTCCTAACTATGCAATGTCGGCAATGAATAAATGTCCGGATAAGAAAGCCAGTTGGCAAATAATTCCTCATTAAAGTGATTTCGTATAATTGAGAACAGTTGATGGAACCATGGAAATATGTTCAGAATTACCCCAAAGGACATCTCTTATCTACTAAGCACTTAAGAGAGGAGTAAAATTGCCTTTTATTGAGATATAGTCCAGACACCACAATTTGCCATATGGCATAAGACAGTAATATATGTTCCAACTATAGTTATGTCTAAAATAGTCATAGACATTTTCTAATGCCATGATTTCTTTTAATGCACCTGTGATGGCGGCCCCATCCCTGGGGGAAAGGCTTGTGGAAAATAGTTGGGTTTTTTACTTTGCGATTGTTCTAATGCCCTGCCAAGTCAATGTGGTAGTTTTGTTCTGTTGTCATTATGGCTTGGAAATGTCCAAATCACAGTGCTGGAGCAATTTAAGCTTGAATTTTACCATCAGATTTTTTCTCCACGGGTCAGGGCCTATCTTTAACAATTAAAGGCTTAACCACTTTAAGATGGTGAGATGGCCATGTGAGATGGCTGTGGTTGAAATGACCAGTGCAACAGATAGGAGTTTAAAATAATCGTATTATCACTGATTTCTGTGAATTGAAATCCAATAATTCTGGTAAATGAGTAAAATATTCATAACTTGTTTAGTATTGCTCTATTAATACATGCAGTATCTGTAGAAGTCATCTCAGTTCTTGCTCCACCACTTGTTATCCTGGGGGAAAAATAAAATGTGTTCTAATGACAGTGATTTATCAACCTAACCCTAACTACAAAAAAAATCCTTCTATTCTACTTTAGTTTAAAAAGCATAACCAAATTTGCGATGCTCACTAATTTGAGTATTTTGTTAAAAATTCACATTTTATTGAGAATTCAATTAAAACTTTCTGTTACCCTGACGACAGATTGTCATAGTAAACAACAACAAGTATGTACAGTAGAACTTCTATGAGTCGAACTTCGATTAGTCGATTTTCCCGATGTGTCGAAGAAAAATGAAAGTCCCGACTTTTCCCCCCTATATATTCCTTATAAAAACCTATTTATGTGTCGAGATTTTATGTGTCGAATTTTTCGATGTGTCGAAGTTTTTTCGTAGTCCGTATCAAGTAAATCTAGTACAATTTACCACAAATAAGTCGAAATCGTATGATTATTTTGACACCTTCGATCTCGAGACATTTTTCACACCTTATCTGGCTGCGAAAACGATTTCCAATCAACTTGTGTGACAGGTGTTAATTACACAGCCGTGTGTTCAAACAGCCTTTGTTTGCGAAAAAATGTGTGATAAAATGCTTTAATCGTTACTATTTTAATTGCCGTAGTGGTATTTGAAAGTAAACAGTAAGAACTACTTTCATTTGAAAACATCCTTGACCCGGTTTCGCGTGAGAATTACACGCAAAATATTTACTATAAGCTGGTTAAGTTATCGCCCTTTCGTATTGTTACGCCTTTTGTAACTCTATTGTATACGTCAACGGGTAGTCCAAATAATTAGCCGTGAAAAAAGCGTTATTCAACATGCTTTATTTATCATTATAAAATGTAAATATCAGATTAATAATGGAAAAACGTGAAAAAAGGTTATTTATAGATCTTATAATTAGGACAAGTCCCGGGTCGAAATTTTGTCATGGAATTGAGAGCGATTCATGAGTCGAAGTCCCGATGTGTCGAAGTTTTTACGCAAGTCCCTTCAACTTCGACTTACCGAAGTTCTACTGTACCTTGATAGTGATCTTAGGTGTTAAACAAATTGTTTTCAATAGTTTTATCTTTGAATTTTTGTGGTGATGATTGGCTAATGAACTTGGCTTCATGTTTTAGAGCCAACCGGTCAGCATGCACATGATACATTTATGTATATACCAGTATTTCTTTTTATTATCAATGAGCCACGCCATGACAAAACCAACATAATGGGTTTGCAACCAGCATGGATCCAGACCAGCCTGTGCATTCGCGCAGTCTGATCAGGATCCATGCTGTTCGCTATCAGTTTCTTTACTTGTTATAGGGTTTGTAAGCGAACAGCATGGATCAGACTGCGTGGATGCGCAGGCTGGTCTGGATCCATGCTGGTCGCAAACCCATTATGTTGGTTTTGTCATGACGCGGCTCAAATATTGTTTTATTTTATCATTTCAGTTGGATTTGAAACCCTCCGGGAGATTGCAGTGTCAGATACGATACTTCACAGAAAATGAAGGTGAGAAATTGATCAGAAGTTTCCTTATAAGTAACATGTAAACAGTGAACATAGTTCCTTAGTTACCAGTATCCAATAAATATAGTTCCTTGGTTACCAGTAAACAATGAATATAGTTCCTTGGTTACCAGTAAACAATGAATATAGTTCCTTGTTTACCAGTAAACAATGAATATAGTTCCTTCAAGGTTACCAGTAAACCATGAATATTGTTCCTGTGTTACCTTACCATTAAACAGGGAACATATTTCTGTGGTTACCAGTAAATAGTGAATATAGTTCCTTGGTTACTAGTAAATGTGTCAACTCTTCAATGTTTGAAGTCTTTTATTGTGCTATATAAATTTCATCAAGATTTGTGTCAATACCACGTTTGGGTAGTGTTAAGAGTTAAGCCAAGTAAAATACAAGTGTTTGTCAGTTGCATTTTCTATGGTACATACTTGTAGAGCAATTAAATTTAAAAAACTTAAATTTCAGATTTTACCAACAAATTTATATTTTGCAGAAATAATATTTTTCCAGTATGTTTTCATCATGCAAAAATAAATAAAACCATAAAAAAATCAACAAAAAAAAACCAGAAAAAGATACATACAGCGAACTTCAAAATAAAGATTCAACAGTGAAAATTTAGATTGATGGAGAACATTTTTTATTTAAATAAAAGAATTAAAACCATACAGCCACTTATTTCAAAGTGTAATATTGTTGGAATAACCTATAGAGGTTTTAGTCGGGACTCCTTGTAATGAAGTGGCTGAAGTGCCGTAATTGTTTGAATTGATCAATTAAAGTTAAATAAATAGCAATTCAACTGCCTACCATGATTGTTTAAAGGGTCTGTGGTGATCCAATGCATGTAAGTAGTCTATTGCCAAACAAAGTGTCTGGTTTAAATAAGAATAATGTTATAAGCTTTACTGTGCAAAATTTGTCTTTATGACTTGTGGACTCAGTATAAAATTTGTCTTAACCCATTACTTCATGAGCATTTTGTGAAAAATAGCTGTTTTCATTGAAAAGTCTCCCGTTACAAGTTCAAATTGCTATAATACTATAAAAACTGCTTCAACACTAATCAAACTTGGCACAAATGTTGACTGGACCATTGCCCTTGCAACAACATGCTCAGGCTTAAATTTTCTGTTACCATGGCAACGAGGGGACATCTCAAAATTGCCAAAAATCACTATTTTGCGTTGATTTTTTCCATCATAATTGATTTCAAAGTGCTGCAACTTCTCAATGGATTGAGATAGAGTCAAATGCTTTTCAGCGTTGGTTACACGTTACCTTATGATCAATCTGGGGTCATTTATAGCCTCTCACAAGTCCAAAATTTTCTTGGCGATGAGGGGGACTCCGCCCCCCTTCAAACCACCCAAACAGAAGGGGGCACATCCCCCTTCTGGCAACCCCCTGATGTATCTTTTGGTTGGGGGGCCGCGGCGAAAAAGTGGTCACTTTTTTTAACAACATTTCTCAAACAAAAACAAGTGTTAAGGGCCTAAATAATGCATTTTTTCACCATTTGAGACCACAAAAAGGGGGGGGGGGGGAAAAAGGCGTTAAAAGGCGTGTATATGAAGTAATGGGTTAAAGACTTCATGTTCATAGTTTAACCCTCAGCCTGCTGGAAACCAAAAGTGATTTGTCTTTGCCACTAGTTAATAGAGGCCAGCCTGTAGCATTACTGCAGTCTGACCAGGCTGTATAGTACATGTTGCTATGCTAAAATGATATATTTTAATATTGATATCCCTCAAACTTAAATAGAATGTTCTAAAGTATGACAAATCCATCACAAATTATCAGCAAAATCAAAGTACTAAAAAAATATGAAACAAAAACCTAAATAATAAAATACTTTCCTAGTCTTCTATTTTACCTGCTTAAAATCAGTACATGTATTTCAATATTAAAATCCCTAAAATATATACTGGGCAGTTCAAAGACAAGTTCATTTTACAAATTCAAGACTGGGTTGGTCATAATATAGCAGGAGCTGTAGGTGTAAAGAATCTGAATGTTTATTTGTATAAAGTTAAAATATGAATGTTATAACATGCATAGCCAAAATGGAAATATCATATTTATATGCCATGATGTAATTGGCTCAGACAGTCCCACAGCGTAATTAAATGATTCTGAAATAGTATAGAATCCTTATTGAATATTTATAAAACAACATTGTGCGTTGTTTTGATCCCCTATTACATTGGATCGGAATTGTACTTTGATTCCAGAACTGTCTCAATCTTGCAGCCAATATAACTTGTACATTTCTCTTTGTGACTATAAAATATTATGATGTTATGGGATAAAAAAAACTTAAAGGGATGCTTGTTGTTTCGCTAGGGAATTATTTCCTACATTTGGATAAGTTTTAGGTGAAATTTACTGCATTTGAAATATACAAAGAATCATTTAGAACATAAATATTTGGGCATAATATTATATGATGTAAAACAAGAAAAACCCACAATCAGGCAACACCCTCAGTGTGCCTTAACATATTTATGGCTCTGGGATTGCAGCCCTTTTAGATGGAGACTAAAAATCAGATTTACTAATTTTCTCCCTTTAAAATTTGATCTTTGAATTGATAAATTAGCTGCCAGGAACAAGTTGAATACATTTTTTTTCTTTCCAGTTTATAGTACAAAAGAACAAAAAACAGTCTTTCTTCCACCAATAAAGCTGGAAAGTCGCCATTTTTATTACCATGAAATGCCGTTTTGACTTGAACAACAAGCAGGGAGCAAATTTTGTCTGATTTAAATCATGAAGTATCCCTGTTTATTTTAATTTATTGTAAAACTAGATGCATTATATGTAATTTAGATTCCTACTTTATTTTTCATAGCATAAACAAAATGTTTATATGGCGTTAACAGCTATAACAAATCAAACATTTAGTTCTTCAGTCTCATTGCTATGGTAACGTATTTTAAGTCTAACTCTAACAGAATTCTTTTGATTTTTAACCTTGACCCTGCAATATTTTACTGTGATGGTCTCATCCTATTTTGAACTTAGAATGGTCCATTGATAAAACCCTTAAATACCCTGCTGAATTTATATAATGGATTTGCCCTGCATTAAAATTAAATATGGATTTTCAATATCAAATAAGGATTTTCAATATCAAAATACGTTGCCATTGAGTCACTGGTCTGGCACTATATTTGTGATCACTTTTGGTTCCAGCAGGTAAAGGAATTACAATGTAGATTATTGAACAACTTGTAAAGAATTAGCCTGTCAGACCCTAATCCCTTGGGTCATAGGTCACGTCTTATTATAAGATTTTTAAAATGTATTTCATTTTGGCATTTTTATATTTAGCAATATATTTAAGTCTTTTAAAGCAATGCATATACTTCAAGGTTATTAACAGAACTGTGTTTGTTACAATTTTCAGCCATTTTATTTTTTTTCATGGGGGGATGGATGTAGGTATGTTTGTATCAGGGTTTAGCAAGCATTTTGAACAACAGTAATTATAAAGCAGTAACTACAGGCTTTAGAAATAACATCTTAGTCAATTTTTTTTTATGACATTTTAATTGAACTATTAATGAGAAATCTTGTCGGGAATCTGAAAACGCAGTAACTGTTGTTATTGTAAGGTATAATCATTATCTTATTTATAGAAATGCCTTACTTCCTTACTTTTCTACAAAATGACAATGTACTTGGTTAGTAATAATAAAAGAAAATGAGCCAGTGTGATTTATAGGTATATTGTTACTTTATGATAAGATAATGTTAGATTGTCTCGCATTGAGATATTTAACTGTTTTATGTCTGGTGGTATTAAAGAATTTAAAACAGCCTGCCTCCAGGTATGTGTTAATTTTTAATGAAAACTTAATAATTGGTCTGTAATGTGTAAAGATGTTGTCAAGGTTACAAATTAAGTGATTTTACTTAGCCATACAAGGGCAAAATGCTATCCACAGAAATTATTTGTAACTTGACAAAATATTAAAAAATTTAAGACTTCTGGTGATAGAAATACAAATGTTCAGGCATTTGCCTGGAGTTAGGATTTGTTTCCCCTATGTTTGAAAGCTCTCTTTTTCTATATAAAACTACATGTAATTAAAATGATATAACTAAATTGAGGATTTTCTGATATTTTTTAACTTGCAACCATGGAAATAGTGATTTTTGTTATTATTTTGCATAAAGTTCAAAGTTAAACCAGTCTTTTGAATATTTATACAATTTATACTTAAAACTATAAAATGAAGTTTAATTTTTTTCGGATGATTTGTTGTACTCATCTGTAGGTGTGGCCCTTTAATACTTAAATGTAGAATTTTATACCAGGTTTAGATATGTCAATCTTTTTTTGTAAAAATGGCAGTGTAGTTTATAGAAACTTTGTAATTACTATACTTACCTTAAACAGATGTTGGAATTATAATATTCAGAAAAAATGCAGCTAAAAATAACCATATTTTAGAAAATACTCCAAAAAATGAACAAACAAAATAAGAAAATTAACAAAAATTAAGGAAAAGTGGGATTGCAGGTTTCTTGCATTACTAAAATTGGCACAAATTTTTAAAGAAGAAAGTCGACAAAAATCTAAAGAAAATAATTGTTGCATAATGAATTATGTGGTATTTAAGCAATAAAATTAATGAAAATCAAATTTAAATTGGGCTTGCATAATAATTATTATGGTTTATATTGGCACTGTATAAGAAGAATTTAGTCAATAAAAATTAAAGGGCAATTTGAGTTGCATAATTACCAGGTTTATATGGGACTTGAAGAAGAAAACGTCTGTGGCCTAGTGGTTAAGGTCGTTGACTTCAAACCACTTGCTTCTCACCACTGTAGGTTCAAGCCGCGCCATAATGAATTGTATTCAAATTCTATATGTAAGAAAGCTATTCAGCTAGCTTAGGCAATGTCAGGTGCTAGTTTAATTCAGTGCCTAAAATAATGTACATACATGTGAACTCACACATTTTTAGTGGGAGACTCCCACTTTCTTCAGACATATTTTTAAAGATTTTTCTTAAAATAAGGGGTCTTTTCACAAATTAAAGAAATTTTCCTCTTTTTTGATATCAGAACTTGCAAATTCTAAAATCTCCCTCTTTTTGAGTGATCAGCGAAAAAAGTTCACATGTATGAGGGCACCTGAGGTCTTCCTCCACCAGTAAAACTGCAAAGTCGCCATATGACCTTTACTGAGCTGTTGCGACGTAAAACCCAATCAAAGAAGAAAAAAAAACTTAACAAGAATTAAAAGAAAAATGTCAGAGATTCCATAATGAAATCATGGTATTCTATAAACAAGAAAAAGAACAAAAAGCATAATCAAATTAAGGTTTCAAATAAATATGGGATATATGGCACTAATTTAAACAAAAAAGATCAAACACAAAATACAATGATTTATACGGCAATTTAAAGAAGGAAATCAATAGTAAATCATATTAAACAAATTTGGATGGCACATTCCTGGCTTATATGGCACTTTATTTGAATGGGCTGCTTCATGTACATTGTATGGAATATTTGACATTGTATTGCTATTTGCATAATGTATGGCAATATATGGCTGATATACTGATTTGATTTTCTTTATGTTACAATATTATATGGCAACGTCAAGTTATTATGTTGCAATGTTTTTGCATTATATTTGTAAGAATATTTAGCTTATTAATTATGTTGTTGTGAAAAACATTTTGGTTAATCTAGTATAAAGAAAATTGCAGATTTAAGGTTGTACATCCATAATATGCTTGTAAAAAGTGGACATCTTTAAACACATGACTGTGGTCTTTAAACCTTTTGAAGGCAAATGAGTGTCAATCTTGAACAGCAATAGAAAATGTTGTCTTGCTGTAGGGTTTCAAGAAAAAAAATTATTCTATGAGTGACGGGCGGACATTTTATGAGCTGTAAATGGAAATTATACCTTAATAATGCAGTTTTTTGTTCATTTACTTTGATTAATCAGAGTCTGACAATCTAAATGAATTATTGATGACATGTTTTAATGAACTTTAAGCCTAATAACAAATTGTTTAAAAATTAGAAAATATTTTATTTGTATCAGACGATGGAAGTAGCAAAGAAGACGGTATTGTATAAACATTTAATCAAAATTCTAGTCAATGTTTATTAGAATGGTGTGCCTTTTTTTTCTCTGACAATTTTTGTACTTTGATAAAAGTAACTTAACTATATAGCAAAAGAAATTGTACCTTTTGAGATGAATGTGAATGCAATTTTATTTTTATGTTTTAAAGGAATGAAAAAGTAGTTAATATTTTCTTTTCTTAATTGTTTGTTTGATAAAGACTCTGTATATATAATATTATGGCACGGTTTATTGTTTTTCATGGTTGAACTTCTTATGCACTAGTCATTTGTAACCTGAAGGCCCCAGCACTCCATGAGTGGCGAATGTTGGAAATAGGGGGGCAAATAATCCATGGATTTTAGCCATCAGATTGTTACAGAAACAGTGTGCCCTGGAATTTTAATGGGGATAATGCGCTCACAAGTCTAAGTCAACACTACATGTTTGAGTTCTTGTGCAGGGACCAGGACTGGTCTACAAATAACTAGTGAAATACTTTATTTTGTTCATTTTTATTACCAGGCCATTAAATATTTAACACAACACAACTATGTTTTATTCTGAGATTTGCAATGCGTAACTTGACTTTATGGTATTTCAAATGGTAAAATGATACCACCCTTGGTAACCCAAGTGAACTCATTACGTATACACTTCATTCGCATAACCTCGGTAACCCATGCATACACCTTTCATATATACTTCATTGGCATGTCAGACGAATATAGTTAACCCTTAGGTTCCAATGATGAATCATACAAGCTGTCGACAGTATTAAGCCGGGTCAGACAACACTGAAAGTGAATGTGCAAGCTGGCCTGGCTGTATACTGATGGTAATTTAAACAACTCTTCCGTCATAAAATACTATGTATTTTGATTTCTGCTTGTGTAAAATTAAAAAAAAATATGAAGGCTATTTAAAGCTGTTGCATGCATGTGTGTAAAAATATGCATGCATATGAGTAAAGAGTATTTTATGTATGTATGTGTTGAAGATTTTACATGGCTAGAAAAAAAAACATGCATACATATTTTCTCACTAGGTCATAAAAATGGAATGACCTTAAGGGGATGTGAGTATTTAAATTCCATGAAAATGTGATTTGTACAAAACATACAAACTTACATAGGCTTCATGCTGCTAAATTTTTATAAGTGACTTTGTCCTGTTATGTCAGCTGGGAACTTTTTTACTAGTAAATTGAATAAAATGTTTTAATTAGTTCAAGCTACTGTTAATTAAATCAGGTTCAGCAAATGTATAGCAATGGGACTAAATTAGAGTAGGTGTACAGCAGGCATGGTGCTATCTGTGTGAATTACATATATAAATTAGCATGACAAATCTGTGAATATATTCTTCTTTTACCATATATGATTATACATGTACTATATTTATTTAAAAACTTTAAAATCCATTTACCCTTCACCTGCTGAATTTGAGTAATAAATTTGCTAAGCTTTCTTTGTGGAGCAATCCATTCAAAGTTTGAAAGGATTCCAATATCAAAATACAAAAATTCACTTAATTGATCTCTCAACATCGAGCCTGGTCAGACTGCTAGAATGGATCACATGGCTCTTCACTGAAGGGAAAATCTTGGCACTTTCAATTCCAGCAGGATACTGTCAGGGTTAACAAAGGCATTTTAAAGCCCCTCATCTCCCAGATGCAATTTAAAAAAAAAAAAATGAATGAAACTTACAATAAGTATATTTATTGTTTTACCCTGTTTAAATTTATTGAATATAGACTGTCTTTGTAATGACTGTGTTAGTGTTAAATTACAAAGTATAAAGTAATTAACATTCTGCCCGAGGAGGAGGGAGTCTGGAGGCTAGCTCCTTTAAGATATTTATAGAAGAATATGTTTAAAAAAAATTGCTGTGCTATATTATTTATTGATTAATGGGACCAAATAGAAGACTTTTCCTTTCGAATTTTTCTGATTGTTGCGCATTCTGTGGAAAACTGAGCAATATTATGCATAAGTTTTTCTGAATGTGGCAATGAAAATGAATTAACTGAATGGGAAAAAATGTTGCTGTGAAAAGTTCTTGTTTTGGTCTTTAAGCATGTATGAAATGGATTTTCCTGTACATTCATCTATTTTTGACTTCATAAGCACAACGTTTGGTATAAAAATTTATTGAATTTGAGCACAGTCTATATTTTTATTGGAAGGTTTGGAATTGGGGCGTAAAACATTAATTTTTTATCATGTTGAGAGTTTATTTAACTCCAGGGATTAGAACAATTGTAACATACTTTACTCCTTAAAATCCTTACTTAACAACAAGTCATGAACCATTAGTACAAATCTGTTTAACTATGCTACCTACAAAATAAAATTGAAAATTTTGATATAAAATTAATTCACTGTAGAAACAGATGAAAGTACAGGGAGGTCGTATCATTAAAATTATTTTTTATGTTCGTTCAATTTTTGTTATGAATGCTGCTTTTTTTAGATATGTTTATATATATATGTATATATGTGTGTTTGTTGCATCCATTTACAGAGGTGACCCGGTCCAAGAAGGGAGGTAATAAATGCTTTCTCGTGTTTTACACATTCCCTTAGTTATAACATCATATATTGCACCATTTCACTCATGTAGACTCAATTATATACTATAGCCTCATATAATAATGGGGTATCTTATACTCTTTTATAGTTTTAAAATCTAATATATAAATGAGCTGCGTCAGGACAAAACCAACATAGTGCGTTTGCTGGTCTGGATCTGGATCTATGCTGGTCGCAAACGCACTATGTTGGTTTTGTCGTGACGCGGCTCAAATTTTATAATTGCCTAATGATTATACCATTTTTCGATGTTTTCTTATTTTAAAATATCATGTGATAAATCTAAAGTCCTTACAATTGTAGTCATTTCATATATTGTAGTGTAGGCTCAGTACCTGATTTTATTGAACAAGTTGAATAAGAATATATTGTGCGAGCCTTTGCCGTGCATAATATTTTTTATCAACAAGTTCGGTAAATTTATAGTGATGAAGCTGCACAAATATAATATTCTATTTATTTGTACATAGTACATAAAATAAGAACTGTTTACAATTATAAAGAATTATTTTATAATCTATTGGTTGGCTCATTGTAAGGCAAACATTTTTTGCATCTTTAGGACATCTTTGCAAAACGCAAATGATGTCACGTAAAAATTTCACTATGCACATTCGTGCAATACCATTTTTTATTGATTTGCAAAAGTGATACGGGTATGTGATAAAGTTTATCCTAAATATCATAAAACCTAATGGTTTTATAATAATTTCTTTAGTCTTGTTTCATTTTAAGTTGATATGAAATGACATTCACTTATATATATATTTTGTATACAGTTTATAACACATAACAATTAATATGTTACATCATAACCAGATGCTAAAAATAATAATTAGGGAATATTAAATACGTGAAGTATATATCAAGTATAAGATTGACTATGAATCAGGTTCTTTTTTTATGTAAAGAATAATTTGAATGGCATTCTGAACTGAATGCCAGTGGTTCTTCCGATAGCTCAGGTGCCAGTTTGTGCCTAGAATAATGCACAAAGGTGCACCAGAGGTCTTCCACCACCAGTGAAGCTTAAAAATTGCCATATGACCTTTTTACAGTCACAGGGGGTGCGATGTAAAACCCATCAAATAAAAAATAATAAAAGAGCAGCATTATTCAAATTTTTAAGGTGTCAAGTGCAAAGTGGTTGTTCCTATAAAATAGTTTGGCATTTGCCACAGATCAAATATAAAATTGAATAGTAGTTTGATAAAAAGACCTTAGGCTTAATAATTTAGAACTTGTAATCTAAATCTTTGTTAAAAATTTAAAAAAAAAGTAAAAAAAAAGCAATTACTTAAGACTATAAAATCTATGTGCTTCATTTATGTTTATTAATACCTTGTATTAAAATAACCATCTATTTATAAAATTGTTAAATAGTAAATGTTGTTTACGTATTAAATTATTTTCCTTTGCCAAATACACTATTTTTTCAATGTTTAAGTATTTCAATTGTTGAATTTAACATTTATTCTTTTGTTGGAAATTTATATCTTATTTGGTTATTTTGCATTTTAGCTACAATTTTATCACATCTGATTTCTAAAAAAATTTCCAAATCTTTCTTTTTGTGTGTGTTTGTTTGTTTTGGAAGCAACTAAATTTTCTTGCTTTCTTGTCTGCCCTTTGATTCCTGCTATAAAAGAAAAATGGAATTCTTCAACTTTAATAATTTAATTTTACAGCTACTAAAAACAGTTAAAAGGACAGAATATAAATCTTTTGACATTAAACATAAAATTAAATCTGAAAATTAGGATACCAGTCTGAATTTCTAAGCAAAATTCATTGGCTTATTTGAAGACTAAAATTTGACATTGACAAAATTTAATTACAATGCTGTTAAAGAATGATTCTCAAGTCTTAGATACAAACATAGATATCAAGTTAAAACATGATTTGATTATTAAATATTTACAGTAACATTGTTTAATATTGAATTATGCTTTGAAGATGACGCATGTGATCACTGATCACTGCTATGTTCTCCTTTAATTGCCTTAAATTGTTTGAATATTATTTTAATTAATGTCTTTTAATAGAATTCTGTACTATAAATACATTTTGCAGTTTATGGTGTACTTCTTTACAGGCAGTAAGGATGATAAGAGTAAAAGTATGTCTTTTTACACCAATCTCATTTACAGAGTTGTTGCCCCTGTTATATTTATCTTTTTAAAATTAAAGAATCTATGATAATTTCTGGTGTTTTATTGATCCTTTGCATGATTTTTCCAGGGAGAGAGAAAATAATGTTTCTTGTAAATTATGAGAAAAAAATCCCTTAATTGTATGGGAAAAAAATCAAGAAAAGATGGGCAATAACTCTGCATTGAGAGACATTGCTTTAAATCTGCAGCAAATGTTAAGAACAGTTAGTTTTCAAAATTTATTAACCCTGGCTTTTGATTGTGTGGTTTATCTGTTCTATTAACTAGCACAATGACACTTTTCTTGGAACTCATTTTTTATCCCTTCATTTTGAAAAACTTGTTGAAGAAAAAAATCATGCTAGACTGATATGTATCAGTAGTGTTTTAGATTTAATATAGATTCTTTAATTAGATACGGGAATTTCTCAAATTTATCATATTCTCAGGGCATATAGAGATTAAACTGTCCATTAGTACAACGTTAACAAAGTCCATGATTTTGGCAAGGTATTTAACTGTGGCTTCTATTTTATACGCACTTTTTAAAAACGGGTTGTATAATAGGAATGCCCCTGGCGGGTCGGCGGGCAGGCAGCATCCAATTTTGTCTGAAGCATTATCTCCTACACACATGGAGGAATATTATTAAACTACATAGAACTGTTCACCGCTATCGGAAGCCATGTCATGGCATGAACCAGGTCTCTAAGTTGAAGGTCAAGGTCACACTTAGAGCTCATTGAAAACCCTTTGTCCGAAGCAAATCTTTTACCTGCAATGAGGAATTTCAATATAACTTGGCACAAATATTTACCATTGTGAGGCAGTGTCGCACACAAAAGTTCAGGTAAAAATAAGAAGATTCGTTTAAGGACCATTTAGGGATTGAAACTCAAATGGTCATTATCATTACTATGGTTGTGACACTTAATTTAGGTCAAGATATGCAATGTCAAGGTCACAAAAGATGATGAAGTATAGAGCATAGAAATGTTTGCCACTATGAGAAACAACTATGCATGAATCAAGTCTCTAGGTTAAAGGTTAAGGTCAAACTTAGGGTTCATTGAATGCTTGTTCAGAGCAAAACTTCTACATTCATAAGGGGATTTTGATGCAACTTGGCACAAATGTTAACCATTGTGAGGCTTAGTATTGCGTGCATAATCCAGGTCCCTGCTACCAAAGTAAAGGTCACATAGAGAGGTGAAAGTTAATATAAAAACAGAAGATGTGTACAGGGACCATTAAGTCTTCTTTATTGATGGATCGTAACATAAATGATAATGATTATCACTACAAGTGTGACAAGTGTAATTTAGGCTAATATTTGCAAGGTCAAGGTCACTAGAGATGATTAAATATCCAGATATTGTCTGGATATTGCCCAGAGCATATTGAAACCTATACGCATATTTATAATGCCCACATCTCTGTCAAAAGCTTCTGTGACAGGCGTATTTTGTTACAATGATGCCCTTGTTCCCAAGTTATTTCCTTTTTAAGGTCACTGGGGTCAAGGTCATTGGTGCTAAAATACATTTGCTCATTCTTTATTTATTAACTATCATAGCTTAGTTAGTCCTCTAAATGTGGGGTGAGAGATAGGTAAAAGGGATAAAGGTCAAAGTCATATCTGCTTAGATTTATAAATTTTTGACACTTTTGTTCCTTTCATATTTGGAAGGAACAACCCTTTGGTGGTCCTCCGCAATTTTTGTTATTAATAAGCATTATTTCCTTCCATATAATATAGGGAATAGGTGAACCTTTTATGCCAAATTGGTTAGTCCTTCTGGGGCATAATTATGTGTATAGCTATTAATTTACCTAATATTTGGTTTGTATTTTTGTTTTTTTCTTTTGCTCTGGCCAGAATTAATTAGTGAAGCTTTGAAGATTTAACTTGTAGATAAATATGTCTGTTTGCTATTAGGAGTTAATTGATATTTCTCATATGTTTCTAACTGCTAATTTAAAATTCATGTTGGATTAAGTAGTAAGTCACTTGTGAAGAAGTTGGTAATTACTAGTAAGTTAACTAGGACAACGGCAGTTCCGTGGTTTGACTGCCGAGAGACGACCAAAATGTGTTGTAACCAGTGTTAAAACCAACCAAATACACCAAACCTTCTTCCAACAAGGGATGTAATTTTTTAACATTAAACAAGACATGTTATAATCATCAGAATAAGATCTTGTACGAGTAATGTTTCTTTTTAATATACATTTATACATTTAAATGTAAGAGGCATTCAGGCCAAGCAAATTTATAGGGCTCAATAAATCTAAATAAGCTTTCATGATTGCATCTTAAACTTTTACACACCAAAATTGACTTTTTTTTATTAAAAACTGTTTAATAATGATCAGTATTAAAGAATTTTTGCCCAGAAGTGTATTGTTAACAATTATATTGAGAGTTCAATAGTACTATCTTGACAGTTTAAAGCTGCATTTTATAAATTTCATAAAAAAAAAGAAATAGCTACATTTCGTTAATTTTATGTGTTTTATATTGACTCCTGTTCTTATTTTGGTGTCCATACAACCAAAATGAGTTTTATAAGCATAAAATTCTGCAACCTCATTTTGGCGAAATCAGAAGTACAATTTCTGTTTGCATGAGAAACTCCACCTAAGTTGGCCATATTGGACATCCTTACATAAATAGAAAATCAACAAACATTTTAAGACAGCAGTCTGAAACGTTATATATTTTGCATTATATTTTGGATGTTTTTTATACAAATTCAATCTGTTTTATAAAATGGTGAACGTCAGGGTTATAATGCACCGTGAAACTAGGTAAAAGTCTGTTTTCTCTAGAAAATCCCATATTTGCTGCCGTTACAGTTAGCAAGTTTTGATTTTACCAATGTGACATAGCGCATACACAAGCTAATTATATCTGGTCTTCATTTGCATATTTAAATTTGTATACAAACTTTAGTGTTACGTGAGGTTTTCCTTTTAAAATCTGATAATTAATGAACAATATTTGATGAGATTCATACAACAATACTGTTAAAAAGGTTAATGAAACTATAGAATGGTAAAAAAAAAATGCTTATTTTTTAGCCGGAAAGAAAATTATTTTTACATATATGTATAACATGTAGCTAGCATGTTGTCATTGGTACAGGTTATTTAATTGGTTGTTGAAGGTTATTAATATATCTAATAAATATTTTGATTGGTTGAATTAACTTTCATTTGATGTGATGCTGTAATTTGTTCTAAAGGAAAATTAACAAATTAACAGGTGAAAAGTTTTATTGGTTTATATGTATTTGGAAAGTCATATCTTATTTAATATTAAATTAAACAAGAATACTTTGTCAGAAACATACATAGTACATGTAAAGGGCATTGTAATACTAGTAGTGTTACACAAGTGTTAATTTGCTATAAATTATATAGAATTCACTTACATGTATTATGACTAATTTAGATATTAATTGGAACATTTGTTCATGCTTACATAAGTCTTGTATGCTTTTCCAATATTATCTGTTTATCATGTTTATTTTTAAAGAAGCTGGCATGTCTTGAACCTCTCACCACTGTAGGTTCAAGCTGTGCCAACATCTTCGGATTCTTCATGTGACAAAGCTATCCAGCTAGCTTAAGGAACCGAACTTAAGGATCATTGATGGTTCCACGCAGGTGCCTGTTTGTGAGGCCGACTTAAATAATGCATGTAGGGGCACCTGAGGTGTCCTCCACCAGTATAGCTGGGATTACCTAATGACCTACACTATGTTGATGCCATGTTAAACCGAACCCCCAAAAAAATATATATAAATTATTTATGATAATAGTATATGTCAGACCTGTTTAAAAAGCTTTTTGTTAAGTAAAACTTTGGATAAAGTGAATATTTTGAGATAAAGACCAAAGTAAACTTCCTTCTTGTGATTGATTTATATCCACTATGTGTTTGGCTTTTATCTATTGCACTTTAATGAGAGAAATAGACACTTGAGTAGATATCTAATCTATTTATAGAATCACTGTTATTTATAGAACCACTATAGAGATAAACTTTGTCTTATTTATTCTTCTATTTCATATTTCTGTAACAATGTAACTTCCATATTTTGGAAATTCTTCCATCATGTATTACTTAAACATTTGATGTTAATTCAGATAATTCATAATTTCAGAAACATCAAAATTCTGAACCTTTTGGCTAGTCCCAAAGGTGTCCAGTTTTCAGAAGTTACACTGTATTATAATTCAACTACCCCACCATGCTGCTTTTATCAATGTTATTTTTTAAAGGAGCATGGATTCAGATATATTTATCATTTATATTTTTTATTGCCAAAAAGGAGATTCGGAACATTAGGAATAAATATGCTGTAAATTTTCAAAAAACTTCATGGAAACTTTTTTTACGAAAATAAATTAAAAATTGTCATGACAAAGGATGATAAGAAATTTTTATGCCCCCACAGAGTGGGAGCATATAGCGTTGCACTTGTCCGTCGAGTGTCCGTACGTCTGTTCGAGCAAACATTTATGAGCTTCATTCCGTAGTTAAATAAAGAACAAATAAAGAACAAAAACTCATAAAATTAAAATTAAGAGCTATTTTTTTGTTTTTATGAGCTAATTTTGCTTATGGACGTAGGTCCAGGTGGTGTTTATCAGCTGATTTGCCTCATAAATGTCAAAAGTTGGCGTCTGTCCGTCCGTACGTCCCGAAATCTTGTGAACGCAACTCCTCTTAAACCGGATGGCAGATTTTGCTTAAACTTCCAGGGATGAACAACCTTAATGTGTAGATGGTAGTAAAGGAAGGAATTTTTGCTGCGACCAAATTTAACAGAATTATGGCCCTTTGTTGATTTTTTTCACTATATACTATGTAGAAATTTTGTGAACGCAACTCCTCTTAAACCGGATGGCAGATTTTGCTTAAACTTCCAGGGATGAACAACCTTAATGTGTAGATGGTAGTTAAGGAAGGAATTTTGCTGCGACCAAATTTAAGAGAATTATGGCCCTTTGTTGATTTTTCACTATATACTAAGTAGAAATTTTGTGAAGGCAACTCCTCTTAAACCGGATGGCAGATTTTGCTTAAACTTCCAGGGATGAACAACCTTAATGTGTAGATGGTAGTAAAGGAAGGAATTTTTGCTACGACCAAATTTAACAGAAATGTGGCCCTTTGTTGATTTTTAGTTTTCAACTTGTGGCACATGTAGTCCAAAAAATATTTGACCTAGAGTCATAAGATTGACAGAACAGTGGCGTGTGGGGGCATCTGTGTCCTATGGACACATTTCTAGTTATGCCCCCATTTCGAAGAAAAGGGGGTATATTGCTTTGCACTTGTCGGTCCGTCGGTCTGTCGGTCCGTCGGTCCGTAGACCAAATGGTTTCCGAGTGATAACTAAAGAACCCTTAGGCCTAGGAACTTCAAACTTGGTATGGTGATTGGTCATGACAAGTAGATGACCCCTATTGATTTTGGGGTCAAGGGGTCAAAGGTCAAGGTCACATTGACCTTGTAAGCAAAAACAGTTTCCGATCAATAACTAAAGAACCTTAAGGCCTAGGAACTTCAAACTTGGTATGGTGATTGTCATGATCAGTAGATGACCCCTATAGATTTTGGGGTCAAGGGGTCAAAGGTCAAGGTCACATTGACCTTGTAAGCAAAAACGGTTTCCGATCAATAAGTTAAGAACCTTAAGGCCTAGGAACTTCAAACTTGGTATGGTGATTGGTCATGATCAGTAGATGACCCCTATTGATTTTGGGGTCAAGGGGTCAAAGGTCAAGGTCACATTGACCTCTTGGGTAAAAGCAGTTTCCAATCAATAACTAAAGAACCCTTAGGCCTAGGAACTTCAAACTTGGTATGGTGATTGGTCATGACCAGCAGATGACCTATTGTTTTTAGGGTCAAGGGGTCAAAGGTCATGTAACATTGACCTTGTAGGTAAAAACGGTTTCCGATCAATTAACTAAAAACGCTTAGGCCTAGGAACTTCAAACTTTGTATGATGATTGGTGGTGACCAGCAGATGACCCCTATTGAGTTTTTGGTCAAGGGGTCAAAGGTCAAGGTCACATCGACTTTGTAAGTAAAAACGGTTTCTGATCAATAACTTAAAAACGCTTAGGCCTAGGAACTTCAAACTTGGTATGGTGATTTTTCATGACCAGCAGATTACCCCTTTCGATTTTGGGATCAAGGGGTCAAAGGTTAAGGTCACATTGACCTTGTAAGTAAAAACGGTTTCTGATCAATAACTAAAGAACGCTTCGGCCTAGGAACTTCAAACTTGGCATAGTGATTGGTCATGATCAGCAGATGACCCCTATTGATTTTGGGGTCAAAGGTCAAGGTCACATTGACCTTGTATGTTAAAACGGTTTCGGATCAATAATAAAAGAACCCTTAGGCCTAGGAACTTCAAACTTGGCATGGTGATTAGTCATGACCAGCAAATGACCCCTATTGATTTTGGGGTCAAGGGGTCAAAGGTCAAGGTCACATTGACCTTGTAAGTAAAAACGGTTTCTGATCAATTAACTAAAAACGCTTAGGCCTAGGAACTTCAAACTTTGTATGATGATTGGTCTTGACCAGCAGATGACCCCTATTGAGTTTTGGGTCAAGGGGTCAAAGGTCAAGGTCATGACCAGTAGATACTTGATAACCCTTATTAATTGTTTGATCACTGGGTCAGAAGTCATGCATAATTACCTTATCACATGAATAATTGGCTGCTGATAGGGGGCATACATGTTTTACAAACATATCTTGTTTAATTTTGTTTTTGTCTTAAATATTGACAGTATTTTATGTATTATGACCAATATTCTATTTTGATCAATATTTTGTTAAGAAAAAAGCATTTACGCTAGATATTGTGATTGTAACTCACTGAAGTGTTGTTATTTTGATATTCTGTTCAAAATCAAACATATTACAGTAGATGTATTGATCGGCAATCAGAAATGACGATAAAAAGTCTAGATAGTATAGCTTATATCAAACTATGTTTTTATTCTAGAGAGGCAGATTATCAGTTTACTTTCCAATAAGTTTGTCAAATGAAATTTCTGAATACTTGTGCCTTTAAACTTTTTTTATGAATTTTAACTTCAAAAAACAGTTAAATGACTTCATTTTAACCTAGAATATTGGTTAGATGTATTGTAGGCTAAAAAAATTATGATATAAAACAATTTGAACTGCTAATTGAACTTCTTGCTGAAACTACAGGTTAATAAGTTTTTTTGTTTTTTTTTAAAATCTCTGAAGTGCAAAAATGGTTTGTAACAAAGCTGTTGGATTTATTATGCATGTTTTTTTTTATTGGTTACATAATTGTCACCTTTACCCTGCTGATTTTAATATTTGCCACCAGTATAAAGCCACACCAACCTGCACATTGTGCAGTCTTAACACAAACTCTATACTATTCGCTGACTTACTTTAAACGTTCATTTTGATATCCCTATCGTTGATAATGGACAGTTCTAGAAATGGAAACTGGACAAGTTCATTTTCAGAAATTCAGCAGGGTAAAGAGTTAAAGTATCCGCTCATATACATGTAATTTCTCTCTTTGAGAGTTATTAATATTCTGCAAGGCATATATGTATAAAACAAAATTTTGATAAATATGAAATATTAATTTTTTTTTAAGTATTTAACTAAATGTCTGTGTACTGGAAATGCTGATATGGTGCAGAAAAATTAATGATTTTCAAAGAAATAAGGGTTACATTGGTATTGTCAGTTGTCAGTTATTGTCAACCTATATTTTGATAGAATATTAGGAGCAGTAAATTTGTTCTGTATTGCCAGATTCATCTTTAATAATTTATTTTATATTTCCTTGTACAGAAATGCAGCCTTCCGTTACTGAGAAGCAGCAAGGGGGAATCACTAGACGCCGTGGTGCAATTAAACAGCAAAAAGTTCATGAGGTCAGAGGTCATCAGTTCATTGCCAAGTTTTTCCGGCAACCGACATTCTGTTCTTACTGCAATGATTTTTGTTGGTACGAATATTTCGGGTTTTTTTAATATCGTCCAATTGTAACCTTTTCTCTGCAAAATTTATGTAGTTGTCTTATCCAATTCTGAATTTATAAATGTCTCTAATATTATGCCCCTTTTGAAAAAGTTCAGATACCGTAAAATTCCTAATAAACGCCCCTCCCCTAATAAAGGCCCCCCCAGGCCTTTTGATAAGGAAAACAATCTACGAATCCATAGAATTTTATAGTAAACACATACATGTATAATATGAACTTTATATAATTATTTAATAATAGCCCCCCCTTTTCGAAAATGTTTAGCCCGCGGGGGCGTTTAATAGGAATTTTACGGTATACATCTATATTACTTATAACATGTTGACCGCTTTGTTGGTCAGTGCATCAAATCTTGTTTGATAAATAACTATACATTTATAACACTTTGTCTACTGTCGGGAGGTTGGTCATGACATAGATATGATCCCAATTGTTTTTGAGATCAAAAGGTCAAAGTTCAAGGTCATGATGGTCAGAGTGACTAAAATGACTTCGGCAATCAATAACCAATAAACACAGCTTCAGTTTTCAATCCTTAGATTTGAGAAGGAGATATATTGATCATGATGAAGTTGATATGTAGGTCAATAGATCAAAGATCAAGGTCACAGTAAGTGAACTTCATTTCAAAAGCTGGCCTATATAGTCTTTAGATTTGGTAGTGTGGAGGATAACAGGACTGATTTGTTGCCATTAGTGTAAGTACTAAAACTTGGGACCTTCAAAGGCCTAAATGATGTTAAATTATATTTTAATGAAAGATAACCTAAAGTCTGAATTTTCTTTTTCAGGGGATTGAACAAACAGGGATACCAATGCAAAGGTAAAGAAAAAAAAATGTATTAAGTAACATCTGCAAATACAAATCCTTAACACACTTAATTCTTGAATTACCTAAGGCACGGTGCATATCCATATCGGTACCCTCTTTGCGAAATCTGCTGAAACGGTACCCTCTCTGAACATGCACAGGTTATTCTCTGCTCAAAACAAACCAGCGATGGATACCAATCCAGTAAAATTTCATTGTAATAAGGAAAGGAGGTATGTCACGTAGAAAAGATGTATACCACGGAACACTAGGATGTTTTATTTATGCGCTGATTTGTCATGTGCCCGATTTTCATGTGTTACCGTAGTGTTGGGAATCGGATGACAAACTCATAATCGATTAATCGGAACAATCGGACAGGCCCTCCGATCAATTAATCGGAATAATCGGACTGAATGTTTTCCAGCATAACTAACTAGAAAATAGAAATCATTATAACTTTTATTTAATATAAATTAATGTTTTTATCTAATTGTCTATTTAACGTATTACAAAATACAAATTCTTCAGTCAGGACAAAGTTTACATACATGTAATGATTTTCATATTCATATTCAGAAAAATCAATGTGTCCTTGTTGCCAGCATTTACTTATTTAATCAAAAATAAAGTTTTTATTTAATTGCCTATTTCACAATCGAGCTAAAATAAATATGGCTAAACTAACTAAAGGAAATTTTGAGATTCAGGGTTCCAATTCCTGTGGGAACTATTCATGGTCATATAAATTATAATAAATTAATAACTGCTACCAATAATTGATATAATGTATCTATGTGATTAATTAGTTAATTTAATATGCATGATCAGGAATAAAAATGTGAGTTACCATTTCACATAAACAATTTAATTATTTTATTTCATTTTTTATAAGAGAATCGCCGTACCATAAACGGTGTCATGGTAAATATAAGTTGAGCAGCCTTTTAAATTTATTATTTAACATTATAAATGGACAGAGTAACGAAGATTGTTACAGTAAAATACAGTATCAGAATCCGTTTTTAATTTAAACGGCCATGTTATTTTCGTGAAGATTGAAGAGTATTCATATTAAATAGCGCAAAGCTAAAAAACTACGAAAAATAACTACCACAAAGGAACAAAAAATTAACACTAAGCGACAATCGATTCTGTTCGACCACAATCGATGTCGGCGACATTATCAACATACCGATCTATAATCGGATAGCGGCGACAATCGGACCATCACTAACTGTAACTTCACAATAAGCTACAAAAAATCGACATGTCTTGCTTCGCCCATCACCTCGACATATTTTTCGGGCTGAAATGAACCTGTGGCTTGATTATATATGCATCATACATATTTAATATGTTCATATACATATCATCTTCGGACAAATGGCAGTATATTGTCAAAAATAAATGTAAAGTTCATAATAACACCCTACTTTCAGTTTTGCAGCGGCACGGGCTACCTCTCTTCATTTGAATTTTTATATCACAGGTACCCTCTCATTATTTAACACATAGGTACCCTCAAAGCACGACATATGCTTTTTTGCGTTAATCGTTTAGTATGTAATATTTACATAAAAGTAAAAAGTATTACTACATACACACTTAACGATTAACGCAAATAAAGGCATATGTCGTGCTTTGAGGGTACCTATGTGTTAAATAATGAGAGGGTACCTGTGATATAAAAATTCAAATGAAGAGAGGTAGCCCGTGCCGCTGCAAAACCGAAAGTAGGGTTTTTTATGAATTTTACATTTATTTTTGACAATATACTGCCATTTGTCCGAAGATGATGTGTAAATGAACATATTAAATATGTATGATGCATATATAATCAAGCCACAGGTTCATTTCAGCCCGAAAAATATGTCGAGGTGATGGGCGAAGCAAGACATGTCGATTTTTTGTAGCTTATTGTGAAGTTACAGTACATGAAAATCGGGCACATGACAAATCAGCGCATAAATAAAACATCCTAGTGTTCCGTGGTATACATCTTTTCTACGTGACATACCTCCTTTCCTTATTACAATGAAATTTTACTGGATTGGTATCCATCGCTGGTTTGTTTTGAGCAGAGAATAACCTGTGCATGTTCAGAGAGGGTACCGTTTCAGCAGATTTCGCAAAGAGGGTACCGATATGGATATGCACCGTGTAAGGTTTTTAGTGAAATCTTTTTAATACATTGTGGACACTATGTACAGAGATAATCACTGATATTTCCTTGATTGTTTGCTTTTCCCAGATTGGAAAACATGGATTGATGTCTGGAAAACATGGAGATACCATATGACCAGAACAGTGTTGTAACTTTAGATTATTTGATGGGACTTAAGATTATAAAATGGTGCATGCTTGTAGTTACTGTTGCTTTTGCTGTTAAAAAAAGCCCTTAAGTTTATTGATAAAAGCATAGCATTGTTGGAATTGCAGTATCAAAGTCATTAAATTGTGCAATGTGCAGTTTAACTACCGATATTAGTCTATATGGAATGTTAGAGAAGATGCCACAAAATAAATTTATTGTAGTCAGTCAGCCAGTTCATTTTTGTCAAGCCGGCTTCTGTTGAGCTTGACTTAGTCGTCACTTTTGGCGTATTTTTCGGTGTATGTGCGTGCTTCCATCCGTGGGTGCATCCTTCCGGATTTGTCCGGTCTGTATCTTGCTCATTCATTGAAGGATAACAAAATATTTTGGTAGAAATGGGGTGGTGTGTGCACGCATGACCCAGGTCCCCGGCTCAAAGGTCAAGGTCACACTTTGGATCAGGGCAAAACCCATGTCCAGAGTGTAACTCCTACATGCATAAAGGGATTTTAATATAACTTGGGACAAATGTTCTCCAAAGTAAGTCTGAGTGTCAGGCGAAAATTTCAGGTGTCTATGGTCAAGGTCACACTTATGGGTCAAAGGTCAAATAACAAAATAAAACATTCATTTGCAAGTATAACTTCTATATGCATGAAGGGATTTTAATATAACTAAGGACAAATGTTCCTTAAAGTGAGGCAGAGTGTGACGTGAAAGATTCAGGTGTCTGAGGCAAAGGTCAAGATCATATTTAGGAGTCCAAGGTCAAATAACAAAATAAAACATTAATTTACGGGTATAAGTTCTATATACATTGGTGGATTTTAATATAACTTAGCACAAATGTTGAGTTGATGTTGAGTTTAGTTGTCTCGCGCAAAAGGAAGGTCAAGGTCACAAGAGGTCAAAGGTCAAATGAAAATATTAAAATCTGTTTCTTGGTGCTGTATCTTGCTAATAATATGCTTTGAAGATTTAATATGCTGAGTGGTCAGAAAACTTTTGTTTAGCCTGCTTGCGCTGAGCTTGACATAGTTGTCAAAATGGCTGTTCAGTGTTTGTGTGTGTGTGCGTCCAAACTTTTCCATACTATAACTTTTTCGTACATGGAGGAATTTTCAAATTATGTGAAGTGAGTATTTTAGGCACAAATGTTCATCATGAGACTTCATGTTATGCACATGAACCAGTTCGCCAGGTCAGGGGTCAAGGTCACCTAAGATGATGCAATGTGAAGAGTTTGCCTTAGAGGCTGTGTTGGGAACATCTCACCTAATATTGTATACATCTTTCTCGTTGATCTCAGGTTTGAATTAAGACAAGCAGGCTCGACATTCTGCCCATGGGCATGTCCTGTGTTCCTTAGGAATGTTTTTCAAATCCAAATGTGTTTTTTATGTGTGTGTGACAATTTTTCATTATATTCTCCCATTTCAACAACTTTCTGATATATTAGTTCATTAAATATTGTTACTAGTGTCAAAGCCTTCCTGTCTGAGATCAAAATTAAAATCATTTCCTTGCTTTGATTAAAATATTTATACATTGTAATGGGATTCCAATGTAAGATGTTTAATATTTACCTGTCTGGAACTGTTCATTTTTTGTCTTATAATTTTTTCAAAAATATCTCAACAACTAAATGTTTATGACATTAGTTAGAGAATAACGCTCAAAACTAATATCCTCAGAATTACTCTGTAATAGAGAATATAGAGTGTAATATAAGGTGTCTGTCTCAACTCTAAACTCAAAGCTTGTATAACATGTAATTAAATACAGTAAAACCTGAGCTGAGAAACGTCTATTTTTGAAGCCAAAGGTTTAGGGCGTTTACAGAGAGATGTTTGTTTTTTAGAGGTTAGATTTAGTACGAAGTCTTGCTTCGGGAAAAATTGAAACTCATGATATAAAGAAATTATTGCTGTACATATATTGGTATAGTCTGTAATTTTAGCTTGCATGATTAATAAGCTGAAAAATGACCTTCTCATCCAAGGTTTATTTCCAGTGTGTATTAAATTTTAATTGTGAAATTTTGATATATTTATTTTATCATTTTCCATATTTTTTTTATGAATAAGTATGTTTTTATTCTGATTTTCAGTATGTAATTGTGCGGTACACAAAAAATGTCACGGAAAAATTCTTGGAAATTGTCCGGGCAGTGCAAAGGACAGTCGAGAAACAAAGGTAGATGTTGCTATATTTTGTTTTATTTTATAACATTATAGACTTGTCAATTCTCTATCAGTTTATCTGTCCAGTCAATTAACCCATATCCTCCTTTCTGCACATGATTTTACCAGTGTGGCCAGCGCTGATCAAGATCCAGGATCTGTGGTGTTAGTTATTCAAACAGTTCTAATTTTGACAATTTCCCTAAAAATTATACATAGTTTTGTGTACATTGTAAGATGGACACTGCTATTTAAGATATCTAGCATATTAAGGATTAACATCAGCTTTATATAAATATTTCAAGTTATATCAACAAAATAAAATTCTTCTAACACAATGTATAATAATAATGAATAAGTTTGTATATTTGTATATCCATGCAAATTATCCGCAGACAAAATTCTTACAAACACTTAAAATTGTTTTGTACAAAAGTTAAGATAAATTTCCTCTCGGATCAGGTGTATTGGCAGTCATGAAGTTAACCTTTTATTTCTCAGAACAACAACGTCAATTGCCATAACCTTCATCATCATGATCTTATTGTGTATTTTCATGCTGTCTTTGTAGAAAGTAATAAAGTTTATAAAAAGGCTTTTGAACTAACCAAAAAAATATCAATAAACCTTTTAATTATATGTTTAGTTTCTACAGTTACTGTTTTTAAATACCAAGCCAGACTTCTCGTTAAAGGTTACCTCTTAATTATAATTGGTATCTGAGATTACCAATATCAGCTTCTCTGTTTTCCTGTAAAGTATATGTTCAATGTCTTATTGTGTCGCCTTGAAAAAGGCGACATATAGGGGTTACTTTTGTCGGCGGCGTCGTTGTCGGTGTCGGCGTCGGCGTCCCCTTAAGCTTGTCCGGAGCATAAGTCAGTCATTATAAGTTGGGTTGACTTCAAACTTGGAATGCATGCTTCTTATAATGACCCGAAGTGCAGTGCATAAGAACCGGTACTCTGCACTTCCTATTTTTTGAGTTATTGCCCTGTGTTAAATTTCATACTTCATTTTTGTCCGGGCCATCTCTCCTAAAGTATAAAAGCTATGGACTTGAAACTTCATAGGATGATAGTTCTCATTAAGAAGAAGTGCAGTGCACAAGAACTGGTACTCTGACTTTCTTATTCTTTGAGTTATTGCCCTTTGTTAATTTTCATACTTTATTTTTGTCCGGACCATTTCTCCTAAAGTATAAAAGCTATGGACTTGAAACTTCATAGGATGATAGATCTCATTAAGAAGAAGTGCAGTGCACAAGAACTGGTACTCTGCATTTCTTATTTTTTGAGTTATTGCCCTTTGTTAATTTTCATACTTTATTTTTGTCAGGGCCATTTCTCCTAAAGTAAAAGAGCTATGGACTTGAAACTTCATAGGATGATAGATCTCATTAAGAAGAAGTGCAGTGCACAAGAACTGGTACTCTGCATTTCTTATTTTTTGAGTTATTGCCCTTTGTTAATTTTCATACTTCATTTTTGTCCGGGCCATTTTTCCTAAAGTAAAAAAACTATGGACTTGAAACTTCATAGGATGATAGATCTCATTAAGAAGAAGTGCAGTGCCCAAGAACTGGTACTCTGCATTTCTTATTTTTTGAGTTATTGTCCTTTGTTTATTTTCATACTTTATTTTTGTCCAGGCCATTTCTCAATAATTATAAAAGCTTTAGATATGAAACTTAATAGGATGATAGATCTTATTGATAAGAAGTGCAGTGCACAGAAACTGCTTCTCTGCATTTCTTATTTTTTGAGTTATTGCCTTTTGTTGATTTTCAAATTTCATTTTTGTCCTGGCCATTTCTCCTAAACTACATTGTTCACAAGGCGACACATCCGACTCTCGGAGTTCTAGTATTTTAAATCAAAATCTGTATAATTTTTTTCCAGATGTTAACTGAAAGATTTAATATAAATGTACCACACAAGTTTAAGGTGAACAATTACATGTCTCCAACATTTTGTGACCACTGTGGAACACTACTCTATGGTCTTTTCAGACAAGGACTAAAATGTCAAGGTTTGTATATTTTTTATTACCTCCCTTTATTGCAGGGAAATTTTGATTATTATCAATAAAGTCATAAATTCCTATGATTGACAATTAAACGTTTGCAGACAGAAATTATTGAGGAAGACAGTTATATTAATACCTAGAAAGGTGAAGGCATTTCCTGGTAATAAATGTGTTTTGTTTAAAAGTCTCACCGTTTTTTACATAATTGTCATAAGCGTCGAATGTCAATTTCACATATTATATTTCACTTGGAATCATTATCAATGAATTGAGTTCTTATTCTACTGCGAGGATCTATGTTCTGTAATATAGTGTTTGTATTTAATTGGGAGAGTTTATATTATACTGAATGAAGTTCTTATTCTATTTAATCAATTTTTTATTTTTTAGATTATAGAACATATCTTATTAGGCAGAGTTCTTTATCCTGTGGCATTATTTTTCAAAATTATTTGCTAAAGATGTATGCAGGCAATCAATTGCACAGTTGAATTCATTTTAAACATTTTACATTTCATTTCAGTTTTTAAATACTTGAAATTGATTTTTTGTTGTTAACAGTTTGTTCTGTAAACTGCCACAAAAAGTGTGAGAAGTTCATGCCCAATTTATGCGGAGTCAATCAGAAATTATTTGCTGAAGTATTACAGACAGTGAAGAAATCAGGTGATGATCGTAGAACTTCCGTTTCCCCTGATAAAACAGGAGCTGGGGTAAGTTTTAATTCATAAGAAAATTGTTCTTTGGTTTTATTGGATTTAGTGGTGGCTGAACAGTATGAAATTGAATTTTATCAAGAAGATATTTACTTTTTCCTACCCAACATTTTTGGTGTAATGTATATATGGTGCAGCTGAGGCCCTCCTTCAACAGTCTGTTTTAGCTGAGGCCCTCCTTCAACAGTCTGTTTTAGCTGAGGGCCCTCCTTCAACAGTCTGCTTAAGCTGAGGCCGTCCTTCAACAGTCAGCTTTAGCTGAGGCCTTCCTTCAACAGTCAGCTTTAGCTGAGGCCCTCCTTCAACAGTCTGCTTTAGCTGAGGCCCTCCTTCAACAGTCTGTTTTAGCTGAGGGCCCTCCTTCAACAGTCTGTTTTAGCTGAGGGCCCTCCTTCAACAGTCAGCTTTAGCTGAGGCCTTCCTTCAACAGTCTGCTTTAGCTGAGGCCCTCCTTCAACAGTCAGCTTTAGCTGAGGCCTTCCTTCAACAGTCTGCTTTAGCTGAGGCCCTCCTTCAACAGTCTGCTTTAGCTGAGGCCCTCCTTCAACAGTCTGTTTTAGCTGAGGGCCCTCCTTCAACAGTCAGCTTTAGCTGAGGCCTTCCTTCAACAGTCAGCTTTAGCTTAGGCCCTCCTTCAACAGTCTGCTTTAGCTTAGGCCCTCCCTTAACAGTCTGCTTTAGCTAGAGAGTCATATGACCTCACTAAATTAAATGTAGGTGAAACTTTAAATAAAGATAATAGCAAGTGATAATATACCAGACCAGATGCTTGGCCTATTGGCACAAACAGATTTTGCCTATGCTAACAGTGCAGACCAAGAACATTCAGCATGTCCTTGCCGTCTTATCATGATCTGCACTGTTCATGACTGACTTAGTTCTCTAAGTGATGTTTTTCTACCAGACACTTTAAGATATATAGTTAGGTAAGGGTTAAAAGTACAATAACTGTACTGTATAAGTGGATATTTCAGTGTGTTTGAAAAGTTAGCAAATTTAAAATTCCAGATTTTTCTTGTGAGGAAATATAAGTGAATCATGCCAGGGTATAATAAAATGACATGTTGGGTGATATTAACGCTAGAGAAAATTTTAGGGGTTTTCGACAATTCGCGAAATTCTCCAATATTTCTGTGTGACTAACTTAACCCACTAATACAGTATGTGTTTAACGGCATGATGAGTATGAATAAATCACAAAATATGTATTAAATAACCTTAAGTCTTGATGTGTACATGTATGTATTACTGATAGATAACTGTAATGTATACAATGTCAAAATTACAAGAATTGTATGCAAAGTTATATTTTACGTCTGGTAACAGAAAGCGGATGAAGATTCGTCTGAGGAGGAAGGTTATGAACAAGTTTGGGACAAGCAGAATCGTGATGTCCCACCTGCCCCACCACCTAAAAAGAGATTCTCTCCTGAACAGTTTAATATGCTCAAAGTTCTTGGAAAAGGAAGTTTCGGAAAGGTATGTTTTACATCAATAAAAGTTAATAAAAAGAATAAGGGAAATGGAAATGGACCTACGTTTCAATAGCCTTCATCAGGGTGAATCAATAAAAGTTGAAAAATGTTTAAGATATTTTTAGCCATCAAAAGGTTATTTATAGCTGTGAAATTTACTTGATCCCTGTATGCTTTCTTGCAATGTAACTGAATGGTTTAAAGTCGTTAGATTATTTTATAAATCTGCTAAAAATTTTGAACCAAGAAGGTCACACGTTATATCACTTAGCTTTAACTTCAAAACTTTTGTGCAAATTTAATGATTTGTTGTTTGGCTATTCGTGTTAATTGTCTATTTTCTTATTTGGGTTGGTCTGTCAACAACATGTGTAGAACCAATCTGCCATTGATTTACAATGTACATCGGATGCTGTGTGTAACCCACTGAAATATGAGGCAGTTGATATTATAGTTTTGATTGGCCTGTCAACAGGATAACAAAATGTGCACAACCATAATCTCATTGACTTTCAATGTACATTGCTGTGTAACCCACAGATTAAATGTAAATTATAGATGATTGTGAGTCATGGTATGCCTTTTGACATGTGCAGATTTTGTAACTGCATGGACTCTCAATGAGCTGAAAACAGCAAGGAGATGATAGTGTGTCAAGCAGTGTTTACAAATATCCCCCACATTGTGGATATTCATGCCCATGTATTTACGTCCTCAGTATTCCTATGTTTAAATTATATTTGTTACACATCTCTTACCGACAGGGTAAAAGATTCAAGATAAACACTCCAGTTTCAAGTACTAGCCAAACCATACAGTATATATCTGTCTTATATTTTAGGTGATGCTGGCAGAATTGAAAGGAACAAATACATTCTATGCAATAAAAGTATTGAAAAAGGACGTGGTGTTAGAGGACGATGATGTAGAATGCACGATGATAGAGAAACGAGTATTAGCACTAGGCTGTCAACATCCATACCTTACACATCTACATAGTACATTTCAGACAGCTGTAAGTTAACTTTCTATAATTCTCCAAGATCTGGATGCAATTAAAGGAACTCCACTAAGGTCTACTAGTTTAATATCATAAAAAAAAATTGAAATTCTTTCATAAATCAAATACAGTAAAATGCCACCTAACGACCACGCCACAAATAGGACCACGCCGCTATTACGGGCACTTTTTAAAAGTACAAAATATTTGCCTTCTTTATTCATTGAGAAAAATGACCAAAATACCGACCACGTCTCTAATCCGGCATAACGACCACTTCTGTCAGACATTTGTGTGTATTTTTTATCAAAACATTAACCTGTATTACAACAATGCAACATAATGGCCAGACATCACTTGGTGTTAATTGCCCCCCAATTAATTGTCGTAATCTTCCCTCTGGCGTAAACAAATACACCGGGTCAAATGAGGTCATTAATATACATCAATTGATTAGACGCTTGCTTTACGATGTATCTGTAGCATTCAAGCGTCCACATGATCGATTTAAACCACTTCTGGCTAATTAATCTAAGCAGCTATAGTGCGAGAAACGATTAATTTGTAAGCGTAATTAGGATGTGATAAACAAGTAAATAGCATGTAAAATTGTTTGTTGTGCATCACAATTTATAGCAAGTATGGTAAAAATTGCTAATTACACCAAATTATCAGTTCATGTGTGCTTTATTTCGATATGTAATTAATGTATAAATCATAATGAGAGTCATACTATATTAATACCTCATATTTTTCTTCTAAAGTGGAAGTCGTAAATTAATGTTTTCATCATATTAATGATGTACAGTATAATAATCATTATCATGCATTAAAAATGTTTTTTGTTTAAAAAAATGTGTTTCTTTTTACTCATTTAATTAAGTACATTTACCATGTGCATAAAATTATACAAGGTATACATTAAGTTAAGTTGGACTTCGTCGGCTGTTAAGTGACTTATTCACTATTAAGACCAGTTCACTATTAAGACCACTTTGAGTCAGACCCGTTAGTGGTCTTAATAGAGAGAATCTACTGTATATTAAAATAATAGATATCAAGTTGAAAATCGACTTTTTATGTCATATCTGGGCAGTTTTGAGTGAAAGTGAAAATCCCTATAAAATTGTTCTTCTCTGGCAAGCAGAGTGAAAGACTAAAAAAAAACTCAGTGGAGTCCCTTTAAGGCAGGTGTTGCGCCAGATCATCCTGTCTGAATTTCAATTGAAATCATTTAAATTAAGGACCACTGTCAAAGGAAAGCCACACTATTTATCTATAGGTTTTCTCCACTCGCCTATAACAATTCATTATATAGAGCATCTTCTTTGTAGGGTCAAATTCTTAGACATTACCATCTTTAATTAATTTTGAACTTACTTTATTTGTAATTTCATCCCTCAATTTTTACTCTTTTTATTCCTTTCAAAACATTAGATTTGGTCATCTCAGAAAGATATTCAGCTACCATGTACAATGTTTCTACAGAGGTGTGCCAGTGACAGAGGTAATACACTGACTGGCACCTGAGGTCTTCTTCCACCAGTAAAGCTATAAGGTTGCTAATTGACCCACACATTCAATGTCAGAACATGTTCTAACTAAAACTTGTCCTTTTGTTTTCAGAGCCACTTATTCTTTGTAATGGAGTATTTAAATGGTGGGGATTTGATGTTTCATATACAAGTGTCTGGAAAGTTTGAAATGAATAGAGCTCAGTGAGTATTGGAACATCTATCTTAAATAATCAGCTGAATTTCTAAAATGGACTTCTCCAGCATCTATTTTTGGAACTGTCCATTATCACTTTTCGAAATTTGAAGTTAGTCAGCCAACAGTATAGAGCCTGGTCAGACTGAAAGGATGTGTAGGCTGGCCTGGCTCTATACTTGTAACAAAGGCTTATCACTTTCAGTTCCAACAGGGTAAGGGTTAGCCAGATTGTTTTATAACCATGGTAACAAAGTTTCATGTTAACCATGAAATGTTGTACAAATTTACTAGAGGTACTACAAATTGACTAGAGGTATGAGATATCCTATTGAAATTGGCATGATTAAGGATCAAAAAGAAAACATGTCAAAGCAACTGACCAAAGTTTCATTATCTTCATCATGTTTTATTGTAGACCCTCTCTTTCTAAATGAATATCTTACTTCATCTGTACAGCTCTTCAGTGTGCTTGGTACTTAATTAATATTAAATCAAAACCTGGTTTTAATCAAAATATAATTTCATTTGACATTTGAATTTAAAGCCGGAGGATTGTTAATTATTAAAAGAAAAATACTAGATTAAAATCAATGTCAACAGATACTACATGTTAAAAGTACATAATTGAGCCGCACCATGACAAAACCAACATAATAGGTTTGCGACCAGCATGGATCCAGACCAGCCTGCACATCCGCACAGTCTGATCAGTATCCATGCTGTTCGCTATCAGTTTCTCTACAAGTTGTAATAGGGTTTGTAAGTGAACAGCAAGGATCCTGATCAGACTGCGCGGATGTGCAGGCTGGTCTGGATCCATGCTGGTCGCAAACCCATTATGTTGGTTTTGTCATGGCACGGCTCATATACATTAATTTAATTGATTAATTTATGTTATCAGATTTTATGCAGCAGAGATACTTCTAGGATTACAATTTCTTCATTCCCAAGGCATTGTTTATAGGTTAGTATGATACGTTGTTTATTTTGTTATCTTTATTATTTGAGTATTAGCATGTGCTGTCTGGAAAGTCTGTGTATTTCCTATTGTAATAGTAATACTAGTATCTAGGTATTACTTCCCATTGAAATGTGGCAGAGGGGCAGCTATTGCTAGCTATTAAACTAGCTTATGGAAGTTTGATTTTGCTATCCATATGCAGGTTTGTGCCTGAAATCACGCCCTTAATAACACATAAGGTCTGATTTAAATGACTTATCATAATGTAAGAAAGAACAATTGTAACTTATAGGAGGTTATCAACAAAGCTTCAAATTGAAATATTATGTACTGTATGTGTATTTGATATTAGAAAATCAAATTTTTCTTGAAACATTCATTATGGGGTCTATATGGATATTCAATGTTCGCACATTCTTGAATTCTTAATGTTCACACAGAGGGCTCAGGTTTTTACTGTGAATTTTGAAGCCAACTGATATTTCTATACATACAATAAGGTTATTATGGGAGTATATTGATCAGGAACTGGTATTTGACTTGAAAGTATTTTACTAGGATAGGATTAGGCGAAGTAGCTCCGAATGTGATCTGTTATAGTAAAATCCAAGAAAAAGCATTTTTATTATATACCTTAACCAAATTTAGATATTAAACTATATTCATACAGTAATTGGCAGCAATGTCATTCAGGATCAAACTTTAGTATGATACATATTTTTGTACTGTCGGGTAGTTTTGGTGCATGTGATAAATGCATCTAATGTAGTCAAATATGGAGAGTTGTATATTGAATTATTGCAGCATTGGTCATTCAAAATTATAATTTTAAATGGTAAGTAAGTGATTGAACCATTTACGAGGGTTGATCAATATATTCATGGACGCTATTAATAACGTAATAATTAATCAAGATATTATAAAGAATTTTCGCTATTTAGGAGAAGAATTTAACACTATTACAAATATATTGTGATTTTTTTAAAAAAAATCTCATTTTGTTGATTATATGTATCGCCATAGCAACCCTATGCCGTACGAACGCCGCAGCTTAAAAAAGTTATATTTACCATTTTAAAATACTTAAAAATTGGCCTTATTTTGGCGCGCTTCATTAAAATATGAAAATGACAGCAACGTTCTTTCATATTGTTTATAGAGCATTTAAAAAAAAACAAGCGTCGCTACGATTTCTTTTGTTTGTTGGAGATGTAAATGGAGACAGGGGTGTGTCACCAGAGAGGAGCACGACGTTGTTGGAGCAGAGGGCAGTAATTAAGTCTGTGTAAATCTTGGTATGACGCCACAGCAGACTAAGGAAAACTTGGAAAGTGTATCTTGAACAAAAAAAGTGTCATAGTCGTTTGTTTATAAGTGGCACAAACGCTTCCATGAGGGTAGAGAAGAACTTCAGGATAATAAGAGATGCGGCAGACCAATCAAAACTTGTTTCAATGAGAACGTTATGCGAGTGAAATTGAAGGCAGAGGTAAAGGGACACAAGTTAACCAGGTTCCATGATTTACAGTCCAAGGCATTTTCTGTGTTGCATTCATTTGATAAGAACATTTTCAGTCAGTGGGTACACAGGCATGAACGATGTGTAGAAGTTGGTGCTGCATTTTTTAGAAGATGTAACGCCGACGTAACGTAAGTTGCGAATGAGCTGCGGCGATCAGCTTAACATGTATTTTTGAAAACTGTCATTTTGGATAAAATATACGGAATATTTATCTGAAACTTACACATCAAATTGATAAATGATTGAATAAATGTCAAATATAATTATATTAACTTTCCTTCCCCAAAAAAACAATTTATGGAGTGTGTCCACGAATATATTGATCAACCCTCGTACAAACAGAATCATTAGCTATTAAGTTTTAAATTTGTGTTATAGGCCTATCATTGGCTCAAAAATGTGAACAACATTTTTTGTATTATTTCAGAGACTTGAAACTAGATAACGTATTACTGGACAGGGATGGACATGTAAAAATAGCTGATTTTGGAATGTGTAAAGAGGGAATATTTGGTGAGAATCGTGCCAGTACATTCTGTGGTACTCCTGATTATATAGCTCCTGAGGTAAGAGATTTTGATAAAATCTGTCTTTCTATCAGATTTACCTACTAAAAATAGTTAGTAATTACATTTGCAAATGTCAGCAGACGGCCAGCTAAATTTCTTAAGGGAATTTAACTAAATTGTCACTTTGCTGCAATCATCAACTGCTACTGTGCATATTACTTTAGAGTTTTGAGGTTTAGTCATTTTTAGCTCGACTACTCGATAAGAATAAGTAGAGCTATTGTAGTCACCCCAGCGTCGGCATCTGCGTAACCACTTATGTTAAAGTTTTTGTAATACCTCAAATATTTTCAAAGTCCATTGACATATGGCTTTGAACCTTTGCACACTTGTTCACCATCATGACCCCAACCTGTAGACAGGAGGAGATAACTGTATCAAGCATTTTGACAGAATTATGTCCCTTTTTCGACTTAGAATTTACGTTAAAGTTTTTGTAATACCTCAAATATTTTCAAAGTCCATTGACATATGGCTTTGAAACTTTGCACACTTGTTCACCATCATGACCCCAACCTGTAGACAGGAGGAGATAACTGTATCAAGCATTTTGACAGAATTATGTCCCTTTTTCGACTTAGAATTTATGTTAAAGTTTTTGTAATACCTCAAATATTTTCAAAGTCCATTGACATCTGGCTTTGAAACTTTGCACACTTGTTCACCATCATGACCCCAACCTGTAGACAGGAGGAGATAACTGTATCGAGCATTTTGACAGAATTATGTCCCTTTTTCGACTTAAAATTTACGTTAAAGTTTTTGTAATACCTCAAATATTTTCAAAGTCCATTGACATATGGCTTTGAAACTTTGCACACTTGTTCACCATCATGACCCCAACCTGTAGACAGGAGGAGATAACTGTATCGAGCATTTTGACAGAATTATGCCCCTTTTTGACTTAGAACTTACATTAAAGTTTTTGTTATACCTCAAATATTTTCAAAGTCCATTGACATCTGGCTTTGAAACTTTACACACTTGTTCACCATCATTACCCCAACCTGTAGACAGGATGAGATAACTGTATCGAGCATTTTGACAGAATTATGCCCCTTTTTGACTTAGAATTTACGTTAAAGTTTTTGTTATACCTCAAATATTTTCAAAGTCCATTGACATCTGGCTTTGAAACTTTGCACACTTGTTCACCATCATGACCCCAACCTGTAGACAGGAGGAGATAACTGTATCGAGCATTTTGACAGAATTATGCCCCTTTTCTGACTTAGAATTTACGTTAAAGTTTTTGTTATACCTCAAATATTTTCAAAGTCCATTGACATACGGCTTTGAAACTTTGCACACTTGTTCACCATCATGACCCCAACCTGTAGACAGGAGGAGATAACTGTATCGAGCATTTTGACAGAATTATGCCCCTTTTCTGACTTAGAATTTACGTTAAAGTTTGCATACCACCTCAGATATTTTCATATACTATTGACATCTGGCTTTGAAACGAGTTGAAATTTTATACTCTTCTTTTAGAGCATAATAGGACTCTTTTCAAGGCCTATAACTGTAACATGGATTTAAAGGAAAATTTGGCCCGTTTGTTAACTTAGAAAACTTTACATTATCAAGGCTCTTTCACTATCAAGCACTAAGAATAGTTGAGCGTTGCTTTCCTACCGACAGCTCTTGTTTATAGTATTATGGCTCTTTGTTAAGAAATGAAAACCTGGTTTTGTGACAATTACTGTTTTTGTTGAAAGCCGTCAGTGTATCAGACAGAATGGGGATTTTTAGAGGTAATTATACATTGTTTATATATTATATATTTAGATTTTGAAAGGACAAAAGTACACAACGTCAGTCGACTGGTGGTCATTTGGTGTATTGTTGTATGAAATGATGATTGGACAGTCACCGTTCCATGGTGATGACGAGGACGATCTGTTCCATTCTATACTAAATGACACTCCCCATTATCCAAGATGGCTGCCAAAAGAAGCTGGATCAATACTCAGTTTGGTAAATAGATTGTTGTTAGTTTAAATAATAGATGTTGATATCCTTAAAACAGTACAAAACTGTAGTTTGCAGATTTGAAGAGGGTGCCTGCCTGTGTTTGAATTGCTTCTACAGTGAGTTACCTACCCCAATAAGAATTTTAAAAAAATTGCCATAAAAAGTAATTCTGATAAGTCATCTCTTCCTCAAAGGAGGTTGACTTTATACTTGTTTACAATTTCTTCATGTCCTGATGGATGATGTTATGAACAAAATGAATGTAGCGCCTGTGGTAGAGTAGTTTAGCTTGCTCCAAATGACTTGCCCCTCATGTTAGGGACTTCAGATTCTTTCATATGAGTCCGCTATCTGGCTAGCTTATGGAAGGTTTGTGGTTCTACTTTGGTGCCGGTTTTTGCCTGAAATAATGAACAAAGGAGCATCTTACATCTCCCTCTATTCTTCTACCAGTAGAGCTGGAAAGTCACAATATAACTTTTACAGTATCAATATGACTTCAAATCCAACAGAATTAAAATAAAAAAATAATTAACCGAATGTGGTATTAAGATGTTAGATAAACTATGATTTGTAAAATTAATGTCCCTTATTAATTTTGATTTACTTATCATTTTTTAAATTTGAAAATGTTAAAAGATATTTCTGTTATCAATAGTTGTTTGAGAGGACACCAGCAGACCGTTTAGGTATGCCGACATGTCCCGCCGGGCCAGTCAGGGCCGTTCCTTACTTCCGTAATATAGACTGGGAAAAACTGGAAAGAAAACAAATAGATCCTCCATTCAAGCCAAAGATTGTAAGTTAAGAGTTTTAATTATATGTTATATATATTTTGTGCTATTCTTAAGCCAATCCGAGGGAAAAGTACTGCAGCGCTTTTCAATTTTGGGTCATTTTCACAATTAGAATAAGTATTTTGGAAAAAGGGGAGTGTGCAAATGATTTGAAATTTTGGTCAGACTTATATCATATGAAATATTAATCTCGAAATGTTACTCCCTGTCCCAGCATTTCAAAATAACATTGGAAAGTTACAATTTTATAGCAAGGCTTGTTGTTTTTTGTTTTTTTTAAACAAATTAAGCAGGTTAAAGGTGATAAAAGAAAAGGTAAAATGTTTGTAAAGAAGGAAATTAAAGCTTTTTGAATTTATTTTTAATCTTGAAGTACTTCTTTTTTAGAAATCCGACAGCGACATATCAAACTTTGACACTGATTTTACGATGGAAAAGGTTGCTCTGACACCACCGGACAAAGATCTTATGAAGACAATGAACCAACGCCTGTTCCAGGGATTTAGTTTTACCAGCGTTGCAGCCTTGTGATAGATCCATTATTCCTCATGCATTTTAACACAGTTCACAGAATAACTCCCTCATGCTGTATGAATGTGACATGAAACAAACAAACAAAAAACTGGCACAACAGGGATTTTTTTAACGGTTTTGAAATACAGTCAAACTTGTATTAAGCGACCGCGCAAGGGAAACACCCAAAACGGTCGCTTAATGAAACGGTCTCTTAAGACAAAGCATGATGTAAAAGTCAAAATTTATAAATGACATCTTTCTTATGCGGTGAGAATGTTTTTCAACTTCATTTTCATATAAATGTTGAATAATTAGTACGCTCCGATAATCTAAATGGATACTAATGTAACAAAAATAAAGTTCTGATATTTATTGACAAAACAGTTTTGATCCATTACGTACATGTTTGACATTTTTTCTAGAATTTTTTAACTGCTCCATTGTTTTTCCTATACTCCAACACGAAAAGCCTATTAGTGAAGATGCTTTCTGTTGTGCATTTTTTTCATTTTAAATAAACAAACTTAATCTAATTGTTACGATTAATTTATTTGCTTATCAAGTTCAAGGTCAATTCAATGCAGTCTAAATGTCAATAAGAGAAACGTATACACCATCTCAGTAGGGGCGGAGCGTTGCATTGTTTATTCGATATTATTGGATAATACACGTACCGCATTTACTTAACTTCATTTGCATACGCTAAAACGGTTTGGGAAATAGAGTTTTTCACACGTTTATTTGTTGTGTTTGATTTTTGACACTTGTGACTTTACGAGGCGGCGTTCTCTAAAAACACAATTACTTGACAGGTAAAAGTGGTCGTTGAATGAAAAGATTGAGCTCAATTAGGTGACTAATTGGCAGTCGCTGGTCGCATTGAGCAAAAGTCGCTGAATACATTAAAGATATAGAGAGAAAATGATTTGGGGGAATTTAAAGTGGTCGTTTAAGACAAAAGTCGCTTAATACACGTGGTCGCATGGGCAAGTTAGACTGTACAGTACAACAGAAATTTTGTAATAATGTTAATAATTGAAATTTTATTTTAATAGGTGTATCATTTGTTTGGCATAATTATTATTACATGATAATTTCTAAATGATTCATTAAAGGAAAGAACTTTATGGGAAATTTTGGATTACTTTAGATTTTTTTGTAATCACAAAGTATTAAAGAAGCACTTACTTGTTTTGAAACGAAGCAATGGAGAAACATTTGTTTTACAATTTTCATTTCAGTGTTCAATACATTGAAAACAGGAAATGTTTTTGAGTTTTCTTCTTTACTCTCAAATATTGGCATATACACAGTTTACTTGACAGAATTACAAATTAATATTAACTTGAAATTCATGATAATTAGACTTATTGTACCAAAAAACTGTTGGCCAGAGTATTTTTGTGAAGATGCGTTTTTTTTGGTTTTTTTTTCTTTCTTATTATATAAGGTATTAAAAAAATAAAGCCCATTTATACATCAAGTTTTATTATTATTATTATTATTATTGGTTAATTATTTGTTATAATGTTGTACATGTGTATTTTATTTACAGAAATTTTGTTTGATATTTAAAATTTTCTGCTAGAAAGACTGGTGCTTTGGAGTTTAAAAATATTTTACATGTTGATGAATTATGATAGAAATTTATTTAGTTAGCTTTTTTAATTTCCATTTTATCGAGTGTTCATGTAGGCATAAACTTCTTCCCATTCTCTTCATACATTTGACGTCATATCATCACCATAGTGCAATACTGGGTTAACTCCTATTAAATTATGTAAGGAGTTAACTCGTTACTGCAGTAAGGTAACAATATATATGAAAATTTGTCTACATTTGAGGCTGTAGATTGCATTGGAATACGGGAAAATCAAAATGCAAAAATGTCACCTTTTATAAAATGTACAAAAAAAAACCAGTTAAAAAGCACATCAAAATGTATATCTATAAGTATGAATCAAAAAAGGCAGCCTGACTTCTGCTTAAGAATGACCACTTTTATTTATAAAAGCTATTCAGAAAATGTAGTGTTCATTTTTTTTTTTTTTTTTTTTGAGAACACTTGCATTCCTTTTAAGTACGCATCATTCAGTTCTCCCCAAATATTTTGTAGAAAGGGAAGTAACTGCAGTTAGACCTCTTAAGAGAAGAGTACTGTAGTTATCATAATTGTACTTGTAATACAATTTTTGATTTTTTACAAGATTGTTTAACAATAAGCTAAGCATGATGATGTTTTTAAATTATGTAATAAATTTTAAATTTCATTGTTGTTTATATGAAAAGAGGAATAAGTGGGACAAATGACGGCATTTTAATATTATTATAAACTTTTGTAAATATGAGTTTAAGGTTTTGTAACAGAAATTGTAAACCAGTCTGTAAATAACTTAATTAACGTATCTCATTGGTTAGTTTTGAATTCATGTGATCAAAATAAACCAATGAAATTTTGGGTTTGTGACTGGTCTACAGTTCCATGTTTCACAACCATGGACCATTGTTTTCTTACTTTTATATGTAGATAAAATGCATTATTGTTTCTAATTATTATAAACCCTTGCAGTTTTACTTACACACAAGTTGGTTCTGTCAAGCAATGATTTATTGGTTTTGTTGGATATGTTTAATCTTGCCTTAAACTGCTGTCCTTAATACCCATCTTTAAGAAGGGTCGAGGATGGGTTTGGGAGTTGGTTGTTAGGTAATATCAGTATTTATTTTAAATATTATTAAAACGGTTCCTTAGAGCTTAATATTGTATACTCGAGGCGTAGAAGCTGTCACATGTAGTCTTTTCCATGCTCGACATTTAACATGATATTAAAGTATTAAAGTGTAATGATTATAATGAGAAGCTGCAACCGGGTGGTAAAGGGGTCTGCCTCTCAGTCGAAGGGGTTGTGGCTTTTTGCTACCAAATCATCTTCAGGATTCAGCAGGGTACACTTCTGAATGTACAAGACAGTATGGCATGAATGATAGTATTATTTAAATAAAATATTCAGTAAAAAAAATAGAAATTTTCAAATTATTGGCAAGTTTAATTGCGAAAACAGTGGTTGCTTGAATCGATAATGTTTGTGATACAAGAACGAGTGCAAAGTATTGCATACACTTGATGGGTATTTACAGGGGGCAAATTTCCCCCAGCTATTTTAATTAGAGACAATAGCACATTGTGTTAATATATAATCAAGATAAAATCATGTTCTCAAGGAGTTATATGTACAAGAAATCAGATTTTTTTTTCTTTTTTGTATTTGTTGTTATTATTTAATCATATATATTCTGTTTACTTTTTTAAATTCAAGACAAAGTTGTTCTGTTATATGAATGATTTTGGTCTGTTCATTATCTTAATAGTAAATCCATATTCCTCCATTGTTAATCATTCAATATGATTATTAAAATGTTATACATTTAATCTATTGAATCTGCCAGTTTGTGATTTCATCTTTGTATTTTACAATACATCGTCATTTTGTTAATCTGTTTCTACTTGTACTTATAGTAATTACTGTGAAATCACTTGATTTTGAAAGTGACCTTTTTTTACATAGCTTTGGAATTTTGTGCATTGGGTATATTTTTTTCTAAAGTGCATTTGTTTAATTCTTAACATTCAAAGAATATTTTGGCGATGTTCATGGCCGAGCGTTTTTAGGTCGGTGACTTCAAACTACTTGCCCCTCATTTCTATTGGTTTGAATCCTGTCAGGAATTTTGCATTCTTTCGTATGAGGTAGCTTTAAGCAAGCTTATGGAGTGTAGTTGGTTATAATCGTGTAATGTATAGAGGGGCACCTGAGGTCTTCCTCAACAAAAAGAGCTGCAAAGTCACTCACAATCTCAGTGTTGGTGTGACTCAAACCCCCTTCCCTGGCCAATTTAGGTTTTGAACAAAATTTTTGGTTTGAACCTGTGATATTTAGTTTGAAACTGCATGGTTTTGTTTGAACCCTTGTTAATTTAATCTAATTTGACAAAGAAAAATGTTCTCTCCCAACCCCCTTTTTTTGCGGAAATTTCTAAAAAAAAAAATTTATTTGTAAAAACAAAGGTCATTAAAATATGTACATCACAATTTGAAATGATTTCACTGTAATTATAATTGCATTACTTTACATTTTATCATCACATTTAGTTAACTGTGACAGCATGAACTTGTTTCTTAGTTGTTGTTGTTGTTTTTGTTGTGACAATCAAAACGTCTTCTTTCACTTATATACATGTATGTATTAAAAAGTGGTCTCATGGGTCTTGTATGGTAGTATAGGTACTTTAATTTCTCAGGTGTTACTGTATTTCAAACTTAAACTTAGGCTTCTTTATGAGAAAACACAAATTTGCTCTGTTCGACTGGATTGGAAAATTAAAAATCATTTGATGTTGAAGATATGAAAATTCAAAGTATTAGGATGTTTACAAAAGATCTTGCCGAGTTGAACTTTGGATTTGACGCCAAAATCTATGCCAAAATTAGCACACTTTAGACCAATACTTCACACTTACATGACATCACTTGTTCTATTTTGCTGTTGTATATGTGAAATGTCATCATTTGAGGGAGAGAAAAAAAGAGCCACGTCGTGAAAAAACCAACATAGTGCGTTTGCGACCAGCATGGATCCAGACCAGCCTGTGCATCTGCGCAGTCTAATCAAGATCCATGCTTTTCGCTATCAGTTTCTCTATTTGTTATAGGGTTTGTATGCGAACAGCATGGATCCAGATCAGACTGTGCTGATGCGCAGGTTGGTCTGGATCCATGCTGGGCGCAAACGCACTATGTTGATTTTGTCATGGCACAGCTCAAATAGTGTTGAACTCCCATGATGCATTGCGGCTAAATATTTAACGATTCTTCTCAGGTCTCTAACACTTTGTGACGTTTTTGAATCATGAAGGGTGGTTAGGCAGTTTGTTTTTCTATATCATTGTGTGTGATATTTGTAATATCTTTATTTATAGTCACCACTGGAAACAAAAGACTGTTAAGAGATTTCAGTTGCTTTAGTTAGGGATAAAATGCATCAGTTCTGTCAGTGTTGCCTACTGATACTGCATGAAATATTTACAAATCAAAAGGACTATTTTCCCTACATTAAATCCCAGAAATGATTTGTGTTTCCTATTCTTTTGGTATAAAGATGTAAGAGGTATTAAACAAATTTGCATTCTCTTTAAGTGAAGAAATTTGATGAAGGAAAATAATCTCTTGTAATACAAGAAATATTACACCATATTATTGCAATAAATCAATGCAATTTACATATTTACCCACATATAAAATGGATCGTTTATAGGACATGGGTCACAATTACAGTTTTTGCTTTGACCCTCTTATATTTTAATAACTTATAATCATTGGATATTTGTAAATACATGTAGAAATGATTTCCTGACGTTAAAGTTGAAATTAAGATGCAGAAAGATATATTTTCATGTCATTGATATTTCTGTTTATTTATATCACTGAAACATTTGACTTGTAAATTTATCTTAAACTTTGCAATAGCATAATACATTATGACAGAGATGTACCGTTGTTATATTTTTTAATCTCACATGTCTATTTCCCATCTTTTTTTATTTTTGTTATTTTTTTTTTTTGCATGATTGTCCCAAAGAATATGTAGTGTTATTTTTTCATAAACTTACAATGTACCCTTATTAAGTTTTGATGATTTTCATGATACTTGATATTTGTTACATCTCAAATGTTGGCAGAAAATGTGTATGCCTGCCTGTCTTGCACAGTGAGGAGGCGAGGTCTATGCTGGCCTTAGGACATTCATGCTATTATCTATTGTTATTTTATGGTGTTATATCTGAGCATCTTGTGAAAAAGTGAAAAAGTTGACAGTGACTGGTCTAGAAATTGTTAATACTGAAATTGACTTGAAAAGCATATTTTTTATGGGGGTTCAAAATGATGGTTCATCAGCAATTTTGGCAGTCTGTTCTTTAATAATTTTAATGCCACTCATAGCACAGGCTGGCCTTTCCCACTTGTACAGAACCATGCTGTCAAGACTACATTCCCATGCAGTCTGACTAATACATGTGCAGTTATCTATCTTTCAATAATATCAAACCCCTGGCGAGAAAGTAGACCTGTCTGCGAATCAAAATCACAAGAAAGTAAAAACAAGGATGGAAGAAGAATATTACAGATGGGGTATTTTGATTGGTAATCCCTTTTATTTTCAAAGTAAGCATGATAATGGGCAATCTCCTACACAGTGATCTCCCCTTATCAGTACAGAGATCTCTGCCATCAGGAACATTTTTATCAATTTGTTATTTTATATTTTTAGCTTTCGAATTATTGTACTTTTGATAACTTTTTGATAAACTTTAACAAACGAGGTATGTAAAGTTAAAAATAAAGCAGAAAGAGAAAAATGACGTTAGATTTTCTATGTAACGGTATTTGAATTTCGATGTTACGTCATGTGACTTTCATCATCATCATCATGTGACGTCTGTAAAGGCAGTGATTACAATCCTGCCAAGGGAGGTAATTACTGTGAGTAGTTTGGATAATGGGTAGATAGATTAAGTTGTCACAGTGATTCAATATATGTGCCTATAAATCAAAGTCTTTTATTATTTCATCAAGTTTATACTTCAAGCAGCACACCTCCATATTTGTGTTAACTTTTATGAAAAATTAATAAAAAGAATATGGTTTTAACAGTAAAAATGTTGTCAAGGCAAGAATTAAGGTGATTTAAGGGCACCTATAATGCTGTCTACCAAAATTATCTATAACTTCTCAAACTCTACAGGAATAAGTGACAGGGATGTCTTTTGGTGGGGAAAAAAGTAAAGTTCACTTGGACTGTTAATCTTTATTGATTTCTAAAGCTTTATTTATATATTTTTCTCAAGTTTGATTTTTTTGAAGAATTATTTTACACATCTGTAGGTGTGCTGCTTTAAGATAATTTTAAGCTTTTTAATGTCCGCACAACTTCCCCTATGACATGGATGCTTTAAAATATGCTCCAGAGAAATAGTTATTTTTGTACTGACTAATTGATAGTTAATGATCCTTTTTTATTCTGTACAGTGACAAAATGTTATCCTTTATCCTATTTTTTAAATAATTTGTGATTTTACTTGTTTATTAGACTAATATATTTCTATATTATTATATTCAACTTTGTTTTTGGTTATGTGAGAGTCGAGTTGTAATATTGTAATATTGGTACTCTGTTCATGTTAGAAATGTAACTATATGAATTGTAACAATACGCATGTAAAGTAAACTTTCTAATTAACAAAAACAGTGTGTCATGTGTCTTTTATTTTTATAACTGAGTTTTAGGAGTTTTTTCTCTGAATGTGAAAAAATTCAGGAGAAATTTCTGTTAAGTTGTGACTGCAGTCTACAGAATATCCTATAAGTTGGACAAAATACCCATTAAGCACAATTTACCACAGCACCTACCATACATACATGTACATTTTTACAAACTAGTACACCATTCTGATTCTAAAGATAAAGTAGTTATGAGTGGTGGCATATTAATATTCCCCTTTTCCACCTTGCAGTGGCCTCTATTCTTGAGTAGGTTTTGGGAATATAAGAACCATTGTTGAGGCCATTGATGCTAAAAAAAGATTTGTCTACTTTTGCACGTAGAGCATTTGCATACATGTATTTTAGCTGTGTGTCCCTTGCATATGGACCACTTTACAGCATCATATAACTCTGACAGTATATAACTGTCTGCTAGTCATAATCAGAATGAATTGTTAAGCAAGTAGTTCACTAATTGGGCTGGAAGTGAAAGTGTTTAAGCGGCCTAATATCTCGGTCGGCTCGAGGGTTTCAGTCAGGCTGCATATTTTTATCACCCTTGGATAGACATTTGACTTACACTATCTATTATCCTATCCCTAAACAAATCTCTGACAAATTTACAAATCAGGCTTAGTTTTATGATATCTTTATACAGCTACAATTTTGAATGTCTAGCAATGGTATCATAGATCATATCCTCCGAAGTCAAGCAGCCACCCTTTGTGGGTAGGATAACTTGACCTTGACTTGCCGTGTGCCTTCTCCGCGACGTGCACGTGACGTGTTTCTTATCTGAGGCCGATGTTTAGCCCGTTTCAAATAAGAACTTGGTTGGAAACCTTGAACTGAATCGTGCTGAATTTGGAGACCTTGAACTGAATCGTACTGAATAGCCCGCCCATGGTGGCGTGTGTGCGTTTAGGGGTGCATGGCAGGGGGTGTTCAAAAAGTGTGCTTTACTTATATAAGTGAACTTCGTTAATTTGACAGTACTGCTCACAAGCTTCTTAATAATGCCTGCAAATCGAATTATGTATGTTATTGTATTGTATAAAATCAATTTATATTGAAAAAGAAAATTCAGCTGAAAATATAATCTTTTAGATAACTGTATCTTCTCGTAGTTCGAATTTTCAGGCGCATTCTCTTAACGATGCAGCTTCGTTTTTTTTTGTTTTTGCTTTTTTCAGCTTGAAGGAACGACTACAATTTAAGTTACCTGTCACACGGATTTACATTACATAATATAAATCCGTGCCTGTCAATACTGTAATATAATAGCAAAATTAAAAATCATATTTAACGTGAATTAAAAACCAAAACAAAAGAAAAGAACCCTCAGATTTGATCGGTTGTAAATTTATTAAAAAGCCTTATTTCCGGATCTAAAGATAAAGTCAGAACGGTAATGAATTAATTATAGCTGTAAAATATCCGGCGGACGTTGATTGACAAAAATGTGTCAGCTTTGACAGCATTTACTACTAGTTTTCAATGTCAATTGTTAGTTTATTCGAACAATCATCTCCAAGCGTCTACCCGAGACCCAGATCGGCGACACTTTATCAGTACTTTCTAAAGGCAATATCGGGTGTGATGTATTAATATTACGCAATACAGAGTTATTTTATCTTGACTTATTATTACTATAAAAATAAACAAATCTCCCGCGTTAACCCTTTCTCTTTCTGATAAAGGGGAAAAACAGGTGTAGAAAATGCTCCTTAAAAGCACTGTTTTATACCTTTTCTTACTTTAAAAAAAAGGTCATTAATGTTTGCACATTCAAGACCATATAAGATCCATATCTACAATTCAGACGCATTTATTAATTACTTATTCTAGAAAGCACATTAAGTTTGATGTATATACATATATTAAACATCATATACCTCTAGAATTAATGAATGCATCCTTGGGAATAATTTAAATATAAAATAACATATAGGCTACATATTTTTATTCCGCATAATCAGTTTGAATAGGCAAATTAAGACGTCGTTTTATTTGAAAGGAAACACCATACATGTATGTATATTCACAGTACAAAAACATTAATATCTATTTAATGATAAATATTGAATTTAAAATCATCTTTTAATTTGCATATATATAATAATATATATTTGAAAATCAGAGACATGTTTAAAAAAATGTCTATAATAATCTTTTCTTAAAAAAAATAATAAAATAATAATAAAGCCTACTCATTTTGCTTTAAATACGCATAATTTATCTTTTAAAGATACAAATTTCATATTGCAATATAATATTAGAAATAAACCGTGAAGTTTAATTGTACTATATTTTTCTGTATAAATTAAGAAACTTGATAATTTTGTTAATTTTTGTTTTGACAGCTATAAAGATATAAAGATTGTAATCTGCATCTTGGTGAACGGAAACGTTTGCATTTTAATCAGTAAAAAACTAAATTATTGTATTGTAAAACAGATAATCAATTAAACATATGGGCATAAAAATAATTTCAAAGATCATCAAGATGAAACAAAAAATATGTACGAAAGATTGACCCGATAAGCGCAATATTACCTATTAAACCTAGGAAGCGCCTCAATGTTGATAAAGAGTTAATTCCCTTAGGCACGCTACTGGCGGGAAGTACGGTGTCGCTGATTGGTTTATTTTATATACCACGTGAGACGTTTATATTGAGCATCTAGAAGAAAAAGGCGGCTATACGACCTATATAGCACAAAGAAGGATCAAGTAAACATCAAATTTCAATCACCAAATCAACAGAAAATGGGTATGTCACTTTTTATATCTATTTGCATTTATGTTTGAATGTGTTTATCGAACTTTTTAAATCAAAATGTCAGCGAATTAAGAGTGGAAATTAGAGAAAATGTAAAAATGCCAGCCGATGCCATTTTTGTTAAGAGAGAAAGACCGGTTGTTTGTGCATCGATAATATTTTTGGATTTTTTTGGAAGTCTAAGTTTTGAAGTCTTTTATTTTATTTTATACTAGTGTTAAAATACAATTCATTTATTTTGGATTAAAATATTTTGCTAAATTTTCAGACATTTACGAGATTTTGTGATGTTTATAATTGCTAGGTCCCAAGATCAACGGAATTACGTCCCTTGTCCTTTGTTCAATGAAGGCGGCACAGTTAAAGCGGAGTTAACTTTTCTTGATTTTTAATTTCAACTTGAATTAAATTTGATAGTTTGTGTAAAAACCGTTAGCTTGCAATGCCTACATTGGTTGATAATCTCTTTTAGCAAAATTTATTCTGGATGTGTTGTGTTTTTTTCTGATTTCATACAAACTGTTTCAAAATTGATTATTGCTATCACTTGGGAAGTTGGGAAAGTTTTTGTAACCAAATAAAAAAATATCTAGAGTGGTTGGACCAATGCTCGGCGCATACCAATGCTCGACGTAAAAAATATTTTTTTTAGAATATCTGAAAATGTCTCGAGTTATCTCCGATTTAGGTCACTGGTGCTTTTATTTACATCTTTCACCATTTTATCCTGGTGTGGTTACTGCTGGTAAAGTCACGTGACAATGCTAATAGCAGACAAACAACCGTATGTAATCCGCAAAATATATAAATTATTAAAGTCTTTTAACACTAAGAGTTCTGGGGCTGTAAAATTTAAACTAAAAGTTGGGTACTTGTAAATGTATGAACCTAATTTGGTTGTTACAATTTATTCAATATGTTTTCTTCATAAGATGAAAAAGAGATTTTATTCGAAAAAACAATCCTGCATAATGTAGTATTGTATGCCGATCAATGGTACAATTTCACGCAAACCACTCTTGTTTATCCGGACTATCTATAGCTCCAGCCATGCACATCATTATGTGATTAGCGAATTTTACACAATGGCTATTTAAAACAATATCATCGGTCTTGAAAATGGACATATAACATTGAGGTTTGTTGACGTTGATTTGAATTTGCCATATCAAATATAGTATTTTTACGCCAAGCGTTGGTCCACCCACTCTTTGTTTTATTCCTGGATTGACACTACAAAATTAATCTTGGATGTAAATAGGTATTTTTTAAGATATTTATTTTTGGTTGACATTATAATGATATGAAAGAAGTCGACAAGTCTTTACATTTTAGTGCTTTTTTTCTCTCTGACCCCCAACCCCATTTTTCTACCCAGAAGGTACAAGTTCTTTCTTAACTCGAATATCGTGCAGTTTTAATGTATTTTTAACATTATTTTTAGGTCGTCCTAAAGTTGATGGTAGGCCAGGTGGAAAGAAGGCTAAAGATCCAAACAAGCCAAAACGAGCAACCTCTGCATATTTCTACTACCTTGCACATTGTCGTGAAGAGGCAAAGAAACAAGGCCGGTCTATATCAAAAGTATGTTTGTTAATAAAAAATGCTCAGCATAATAATACAATTAATTTTTCCTTTGAAAATAAATGATTTTAACACAGTAACTAATGCTGTTTGTAATAAACATTTCATACAAGTTCAAACATGATGACCTAAGAAGAAAAAAATCACTTGTCCTTTTTAATACATGTAGAATTTGGAGAGAACTTCTAGCAAGATAAGTAGAAAAAAAGCAAGATAAGTAGAAAAAAATAAACTTGCTCTGACTCATAATGAACAGATGTTGTTTTTTTCCTGCAGAATGAATGCTCTGAAAATAAATTTGATCTGTTAAATGTCACATGGTGATTTAAAAAAAAGTTTCTACATTGAATTGGTCACAAAATGAATATTAAAATTAACATTCTATGTCTTATTCAGATTGCAGAATTCACAAAGGAAGCATCTGAGAAATGGAGGAATCTTAACGGTAAAGAAAAGCAGGAATTTGAAAGCAAAGCAGCCGCAGATAAACAGAGATATGACAGAGAGGTAAGAATATTGAAAATGTTTTTTACCACTCAAAAATGATATTTAAAGTCTTTTCGTCTTATATAATAGGTCAGCTGTGTCTATATTTTGAATCAACTGGAATAAAATTAGTTATTGACAAACCAAGTACAGCCATAAGATAATAAACATATGGGATGATGCATTTTTGAATGCAGTGGGACGCTTTCACCTGCATAGTATTGAAGTTGTGCATTTACAAAAAATAGTGAAACAGTCTAGTTTGCATGACTTAAAAGTTATCATTGTTGCCTTATATGTCAAGTGTCTTAAAATATATTGCTCAAATAAGAGATAGCGAGAGTATAACATAAATTTTTTAAGACTATTCTAAATGCATTTGCTCATTGTAAACATTAAGAGGTAATGAATAAACTGAAACAGTTATACTGAACTGTAAATACTTTATCTATTCAACAGATGCAACAATATGGAGGTGGTCGAGGAAAACAAGCAAAGGATCCAAATGCACCAAAGAAGCCCTTAACTGGCTATTTCTTGTTTTTAGCCGATTTCAGAATAAGACACAAAGGCAGGGACATCCAAAACAAAGATTTACTGAAAATGGGTAAGTCATGTTTGTGATTAATGAAATTGATATAATTTGTTAATTTATATTTCACTTCTTGCTGAAAAGATTTAGTTAATCTCCTTTTGACTAAGACTTTAAACATAAAATTGAAAATTAGTTGGAAGCACTGTTAAAGGAAGAAGGTAAAAAGTTTTACTGGAAAAAAGCGGAATAATTAAAGAAAGCCCTACAGATACACCAAAGTTGAAAATGTTAGTTGGTGTTAGTGGTAAGTTTTAGATGCCATCCTCACCCCTTGGCACAGGCTAAAGCAGTATTTAACATTCAAACATGGTAATGCTGAAATCTAGGAACAATGAGTGTAAACATCCAGTTAATATGGTTAAAATGTTTCTTCAGATGTGGCTAAATGTATGGAGGGCCTCCCTACAAAAAGAATTAGTACAAATGTAGTTTGTTGTACTATCTGAAATGCAAGAAAAACTCAACTAGGAAAAAAATAAGTGTAATAATAGGAAAAAATAAGTGTAATTACAAAAATTTGAAAAAAAAAATTTTTTTTCCTTGCAGCTGGTGAGGAATGGCGTGAAATGGATGATTCACAGAAAATGCCATATGAAAAGAAGAGCCAAGAAGAACAGAAAAAATATGAAGTAACAATGGCAGCTTACAGACGTGTAAGTATATCATTTTCAGAGATATTTTGAAAAGGAAAAGATGATTATAAATGCTGAAATCAGTGATTCTCATTTTGTAAAGAGTAAAAGATGTCTTTTTGATTAATTTAAAATCATTGTTTTTTGAATGGGGGCATATTAAAATTATAATTTGGCACAAATGTTTACCACATCATGATGATCTGTCACATCTGAGACACCTGTCGTTCAAGCTTCACATTGAAGAATTTTCTATTGTTTGTTATCTCCATTGTTTAGAAAGATTTATTGATGCCGTTTCTTGTATTAGTATAAAGTGTTGAGACAAAAACTTCATAAGTGTACTGAGAACAATCCTTAATGTTGAAAAATCCTGAATACTAAAAAGAAAGGTGAATACTAAAAAGTAAAGCAAAGCTTATCTTTGGACATCAGTGCTCTTGGAGTCTTGGAACATGAAATTTTAAGTTAGATAATGTGAAAATAGAGGCATGGTCAGTCAATGCTAGCATTACACGCCAAGTTTCATATTTGTTCTGTTTTAAATGTTTCAGGGTGGTGCTGCAGCAAATGGAGCAGGAGCTGCTGTAGATGATGAAGAAGATGACGATGAGGAGTATGAAGATGATGATGAATAGACTTTGTGACTATCTTATTGTTGTGATCAGATTTGTAAAGCCATGTGGTGAATCAGTACGTTTCAGACTTCAAACACGACCAAACAACATTCAGTATTTTGGAATTCATTTTGTGAAGTCTGCACGATTTTTGTAACAAAAAAGAAAGTCGAGTAGTGAATTACAAATCTGAATGCATTTTAATACAAGACCTATCATTCGTTGTCTTTTCTTGAGACAAAAAATAAAGAGTTTTATACGGTTGTTCAAGCACAATCGAGCACCAAAGATCATTGGCGAGACCCGTGAACAAATCGAGGAAAATAACAGATTCTGTAACAATAAGTAAATGAAGGAGCTCTGTGGACTCCATATATTAAGCACTTGACTTGTGAATAAAATAAAAGATGTTTTACCTCAAGTGTAACGTGACTTACAATTTTACAATTCTAGACATGATTGTGCATTAGTATCACAGTCATTGGATCATTTGTATTTTGTCATTGATATTGTCCTCCATTTCTCATTCACCATTTTTTTCTTCATCATCCCACCGTCATTCCACATTGTGACAAGTATTTGATACCAGTTTATACATATTTTTAATTTGAAATGTGTTTTCTCCAGTAATAAATCCAGATCACAAATAAAAAAGAAGAAAAAACAGCCGATCTGCTAAAATTGATTTATTTCAATGTCTTTTTTGTATCAAAGGTTTAATTCTGCATTGTCGCTGTATTTTTGTATTGTACACAATTATTTTTTATTTGTTTTTTTTTTTTACATATTTGAATATTGTAGGTTCAGCCTACTTCTACCTTTTTTGGCATACTTCATTAGATCTCAGGGAACTTTGGTCTCCCTATTTACATTGGTTCAGTTCTGGAATTCTTAATGCTTTTATCTCGCATATATATTTTTGTTTAAAATAAATAAACACTTTTACTGTATTGAAATATTAAACATGTGGTAATCTCACTCATTATAAAAATCAACCCTGCATTTGTGATTTTAGTCCATTTTGATTTTTATGCAACTTTTTTCAGTGAATCTTTATTTTATGTTTAGCATCTAGTTTTACATGTGTATATCTATCTTTAATAAAATTTAATTTAATTTTGGACACATTGTATTTGCTAGTATTTTAGTATTCTGTTATAAACCTATTAGTAAATTTTGAAATATTTTGTGTCGCTCTGTAAATGCTTAATTAGAGATTAATTTGGAAATTCTGATCAGATACAAGGAAGGATTAATTTCCTGCCAGTTTCTTTGGATATGTTACAGAAAGTTTTTGCTTACAATTCTCAATTGTAATAAATAGATTTGATTGTCTGTTCACTAATTAGATTACACTTTGCTGAAATTTACTATTAAATATTCCTAATAAAATAAAACCTGCAAGTTCTATGGACAAATACTTTGGCTCTTGAAATTAAATAGACTTGTATAGGAAAAAAAACATTTAAGTTTCATTGTGTAAAACTACAATGCCCAGAGCTTGGATATTTGGCATGTAACATCATTTTGTGGACCACAAAATAACTTTTATTAATTTTGTGAAACTTACTTTGCATAGACTAAGGTCTACTATATCTCTATATTTATCATATAGCATTGCCTACATCTGGGATAAAAAATTCTCCACCTTTGAGGCCATGTAGTATCGGGGAATAATTAAGAAAAACCTGCTTTAGACCAGTTTCTTGATTGGGCCTCTAGTACCCTAATTGAAAGATTATTTTTGATTTTTGGGCGTATATTGCCCCGACCTTGCGGTGCTCTTTACCCTTGCCAATGGGCGAGCATAAACTTCATTTTATAAATGGCTGAAAATGTGATCTTCGGGTTAGAAAACCATTAAATTTCAATTATCTTCCTTTAATATTATATTCCATGACACTTGTGCAGAGAATAACAAGTATTGAATTAATTTGATCAGAACTTCACACAGTGGTAGAGATTAGGTTGTGTAGTTAAAGTAAGTAAAATCACGATAAATCTACATTGCTCAAATTTTGAATTATCTCCCTGCATGATACTTGGATACTTATCCAGAGTGTAACTTCTTAACTGATAATTATCTCGTGGAAATAGAGACTTTGATGAATAGTTGGACTATATATTCACACAGATGTCTAAATCAGCGCCAACATACCACTTTGGTAAAAGTTTTACCTTCAACTCTTATACAGCATACCTCATTGACTGCAAAAGATATTTGCTTCTTAAGAAATTTATTTGAAATCCTAATACTAGTAAGTCACTAGTACTATCCAACTGGCATCGAGTTTAACTGAATTAGACGCTTTAACTCTGGAAAAGGTGTTCTTTTGAAATTTAACACAATCGTGTCTTTGGGATCATAACTGGAGGTCACTGTCCCAGGCCTGTAACTCTTGGCATGGGTGATTTTGAATGAAATAATAAATTTTGAAAGTCTTAATATTGCATTTTTTACTTTGTTTACATTAGCTACCTTATGTGTTGCCTTGAAAAAGGCGACATATAGGGGTTACTTTTGTCGACAGCATCCCCTTAAGCTTGTCCGAAGCATAACTCGGGTCACTATAAGTCGAATTGATGCCAAACTTGATATGCATGCTCCTTTCAATGACCCATAGTGTCTGCGTTTCTTAATTTTTGAGTTATTGCCCTTTGTTAATTTTCCTACTCTATTTTTGTCCAGGCCATTTCTCCTAAACTATAAAAACTGTGGACTTGATACTTCATAGGATGATGGATCGCATTTAGAAGAAGTGCAGTGCACAAAAACTGTTACCCTGCATTTCTTATTTTTGGAGGTATGTCCTTTTTAGCGTGACTATACAAAGTATATTGAGAGCTGTCCTACTCGCCCCTGGGTCTGCGTCCAGATTTCAGATTAAAGTTTTGCTGCAGTAAAATATTTTTTACTATAACTTTTTCATTTCTTAAGGTATCAACTTTAATCTTCAAATATATGTTCCTTATCATCAACCACATCTTATGTGACAAGGTTTATAACTCTAGCACCAATATTTTCAGATTTATCACCCCTTGAACTTAGAATTTTCCTTAAAAAATATTTTTTACTGTTACTTCTTTATTTCTTACGGGGTCAACTTCATCCTTCAAATATATGTTCCTTATCATCAACCACATCTTATGTGACAAGGTTCATAACTCTACCAACAATATTTTCAGATTTATCTCCCCTTGAACTTAGAATTTTCCTCAAAATATTATTTTTTACTGTTACTTCTTTATTATATAGGATATATAGGAGTCACCCGGTGGTCGGGCGGTCGGTCGGTCCAGACGTCCGTTGCATTTTCCTTGTCCGGAGCATAACTTTAAGACTAATGCTTGGAATTCAATATAACTACACACAATGGTCAAGCACATTGAGAGGAAGTGCAGTGCATAAGAACCATAACTCTATCTTGATTAATTACAGAGTTATTGCCCTTTGTTACTTTTCCTTGTCCGGGGCATAACTTGAAAACTACTGGTTGGAATTCAAAACAACTTCACACAATTGTCAAACACAATAAGGGGAAGTGCAGTGCATAAGAACCATAACTCTATCTAAAGTAATTACAGAGTTATTGCCCTTTGTTGCTTTTCCATTGCTTTTTTTTTGTACGTTGCATTTACCTTGTCCGGAGCATAACTTGAAGACTAATGTTTGGAATTCAATATAACTACATACAATGGTCAAGCACATTGAAAGGAAGTGCAGTGCACAAGAAACATAACTCTATCTTGATTAATTACAGAGTTATTGCCCTTTGTTACTTTTCCTTGTCCGGGGCATAACTTGAAAACTACTGGTTGGAATTCAAAACAACTTCACACAATTGTCAAACACTATAAGGGGAAGTGCAGTGCATAAGAACCATAACTCTATTTAAAGTAATTACAGAGTTATTGCCCTTTGTTACTTTTCCATTGCTTTTTTGTCCGGAGCATAACTTGAAGACTAATGGTTGGAATTCAATATAACTTCATACAATGGTCAAGCACATTGAGAGGAAGTACAGTGCACAAGAACCATAACTCCATCTTGACTAATTACAGAGTTACTGCCCTTTGTTAATTTTCCTTGTCCAGAGCATGACTTGAAAACTACTGGTTGGAATTCAAAACAACTTCATACAATGGTCAAGCACAATAAGGGGAAGTGCAGTGCACAAGAACCATAACTCCAGCTTGACTAATTACAGAGTTATTGCCCTTTGTTACTTTTCCATTGCTTTTTTGTCCGGAGCATAACTTGAAGACTAATGGTTGGAATTCAATATAACTTCATACAATGGTCAAGCACATTGAGAGGAAGTGCAGTGCACAAGAACCATAACTCCATCTTGACTAATTACAGAGTTATTGCCCTTTGTTACTTTTCCTTGTCCAGAGCATAACTTGAAAACTACTGTTTGGAATTCAGTACAACTTCATACAGTCGTCAAGGACATTAAAAGGAAGTACAGTGCACAAGAGCCATAACTCCATTTTGACAAAATACAGAGTAACTGCCCTTCGATACTTTTCCTTGTCCTGAGCATAACTTAAAACGTACTGGTTGGAATTCAAAACAACTTCATACAATGTTCAAGCACAAAAAGAGGAAGTGCAGTGCACAAGAACTATAACTCTATCTTCAGTTTTTATAGAGTTTTTGCCCTTTGTTCCTTTTCTTTGTCTTTCTGGACTTATTACAGAGTAATTCAATTAAACTTCGTCACTGGCCAACCACATTGAAAGGAAATGCAACATATAAGAACCACAAATATCTTTAATTGCCAACAACCATAACTCTATATTTCAATTCTTTTACAAGGTATTCTGTTACTAGTAACATCCTCATTTCCGAAGCAGTCTTGTGGGGGTATTAATCACATTTAGTGATAGTTCTAGTTTCTTAAGGGATCAACTTCATACTTCAAATATATGTTCCTTATCATCAACCATTTTTATGTGACAAGGTTCATAACATTAGCACCAATATTTTCAGATTTAACTCCCCTTGAACTTAGAATTTTCCTTAAAATATTGTTTTTTACTGGTACTTCTTTATTGCTTAAGGAATCAACTTCATACTTCAAATATATGTTCCTTATCATTAACCACATCTTATGTGACAAGGTTCATAACTCTAGCACCAATATTGCAAGAATTATCTCCCCATAAACTTAGATTTTTTTACTTGAAAAATGTTATTTTTTACTATAACTTCTTTAGTTTTAAAGGTATCTACCTCAAACTTCAAATACTTATTCCTTATCATCAATTATATATTATGTGACAAGCTTTATAACTCTTGAAGCAATATTTTTATGCCCCCACAATGTGGGAGCATAAAGCAATGCACTTGTCCGTCCGTCCGTACATCCCAAAATCTTGTGAACGCAACTCCTCTTAAACCGGACAGCAGATTTTGCTTAAACTTACAGGGATGAACAACCTTAATGTGTAGATGGTAGTAAAGGAAGGAATTTTCGCTGCAACCAAATTTAACAGAATTATGGCCCTTTGTTGATTTTTTCACTATATACTATGTAGAAATTTTGTGAACGCAACTCCTCTTAAACCGGATGGCAGATTTTGCTTAAACTTCCAGGGATGATCAACCTTAATGTGTAGATGGTAGTAAAGGAAGGAATTTTCACTGCGACCAAATTTAACAGAATTATGGCCCTTTGTTGATTTTTTCACTATATACTATGTAGAAATTTTGTGAATGCAACTCCTCTTAAACCGGATGGCAGATTTTGCTTAAACTTCCAGGGATGAACAACCTTAATGTGTAGATGGTAGTAAAGGAAGGAATTTTTGCTGCGACCAAATTTAACAGAATTATGGCCCTTTGTTGATTTTTTCACTATATACTACTAGTATGTAGAAATTTTGTGAATGCAACTCCTCTTAAATCGGATGGCAGATTTTGCTTAAACTTCCAGGGATTAACAATGTTAATGTGTAGATGGTAGTAAAGGAAGGAATTTTTGCTGCA